TGGGGAGTTCCCCTCGAGACGCAATGGGAATTCCTCATCAGTGACTGCTAGAAACTTGTCAGTTGTCCTGGTCTCATCAGAGCGTGGAGGATGCTTGTTTATCAGAGGACGAAATCCCATTAACACTGCAGGAAAGGATACTGAGTTTCTATAAGGTGGTTATAATAAACCCCTGCTGCCATCATTGAGAAACTTGCAGAGTAGTTAAAAATCCCTGAGCCACTATCCAGTGACTTGTTTTCTGCAAACAGTTAGCTATATCTATTAATACCACCTCCGAACTATATTCATCATACCCCTGGAACCATGCCAAAGAGCCATCCCTCTTGGAGCCCCAGCCAGCTCCATTTTCCACTAGATGCCTTTAAGAGGAAGAGGACGAGGGTTGGGGGAAGGGATGGGTCTGATTCTGAACCCAGTGATGTTTCTTGCTTCCCCGTTTTCTTTTTGTCTTTTGTGTATTTCAGGGTGCAATCCTCACTACAATGCTAGCAACCCGGAATTTTTCTGGTAGGTAACCCAACTCTCTCCAGGACAGTATTGACTTGCTGCCTCTTCCTATGTTGGATGCTAGCCATATGTGCTTAAAATGACTGGCCAGTGTGACAGGCTTCCCAAACCCTGGCTCTCGTTGGAAAAGACTGGGCACAGGGCATCTTCATGCATGGCTCTAAAGCAGGGGTGGGGAACCTCCGATCCTGAAGAGTTGTTGGACAGGACTCCAGTTTCCATCAGCCCCCAAACAGCATGGCCAATGGTCAGGGATGATGGGAGTTGTGGTCCAACAGCAACTGCATCATCAGAGGTTCCCCACCCCTGCTATGATACCATTTTGGAATTCTTCTGCCATTTCTACCTGCGGCTAAACATTAATGCAGGAAAGAAAGAAAAGTGGAGAAGCATTTTAAATTTATATTCTGACCCTTGTTGGTTTGGCATTAATGAAGGTCAATTTGTATGTCCCAGACTTGCTCAATGCATAAATCCATTTGCTGGATTTTACTCAGTAGACAAGGCTGCCTATTGGTTGTCTTGAAATTCTAGCATTTCTGCAGCTTCCCTGCAGGTTGCTACTTTCAGCACTGTACAAGCAGATACAATTTGGAAAGCAAGATACTGGGACTGCAGTGGAATCCTATAAGGATGTTTTGACTTATGCTTAAAAATCCAGGGTTGTTGAATTTTGATTTACTAATGAAGATCACATGCTTTGGAGATAGCTTGCATTTTAATATGATGTTTGGGTCTTCCTGGTTGCGGTGCAGTCAGGGGAATAGGGCATTGCAAAGTCTGGATGTGGTTGAACTGATACTGTACTCTCATTTTTCATACTGACACACTGCTAATACTCAGGGGGTTTATTACTAGGTAAATCACAGGCAGCCAACCTGCAGCTTGTCAACCACATGTGCCCTCACTGCTTGTGCCAGCCATGCCAACTGGCATGCAGCACCTGACCACTTACCCACACCACCACGAGTCCCTGGGGGCAGTAGGCAGGGTTTCTCATCCCTGGTATAAACCAGCACAACTTAAGGTCGTCCCCCCCCATACACCAAAACATTTTGTATGTTTGGGTTAGTCTGTTTGCACCATGTTCCTATTCTATAACATTCCCCAGATTTCACCATCCTATTGGTGTTACATTTTAGGAAAAGAAGCTTGACAAATGGACTTGATAAATGCACCAGCAGCCTGCCTCTAAGTTTGGGCTCCAGCCCTGTTATCGGTTATGCTTGGGAAAGTGGCACAGAATAACTATCTGTGTGTTCCTGTGCATTGCTTCTCAGAAGTAAACGGTGTTTAATGGTGCTTACTCACTTAGAAGAAAGCATGCATAGATTTGCAGCATAGATCAAGTGCCTTGATAAAATAATTTAGTTTGCTAGTGGGGGGGAGTACTGATGTATAAACGATCATTTTAAAATTCCCTAAATATTCACGACATGCATTGTCGCTGTCTGCTATGTCAGGAACTTCGTCCAAGATTTGTTTCTGTGCACAGCCTCCTTTCATTTCACTGGGCATCTAGCTCAGCAAGGCTTTCCTTGTCGTGGCAGCCTGGAAAGAAAGCACTCAATGTCTTTTAGACCTATTCTTGGAGTATGACTCAAACGTTTGGTGTCCAGACATAGCTCACATATTACTTATTTCAGGAACTTGTGGCCCTCAGATGTTGCTGGACCTCCGACCATTGGCCATGTTGGCTGCAGCTGATGAAACCTGGGGTCCAACAAGATCTGGAAAATCACAGGCTTCCCACCCCAGACCTATTTCCAAAGGTCTCCAAGCAGCACAGTTTGAACATGGAAAGAGTGTATGTTAGAGATGCTACAGAGTTGACAAGGATTTACTATATGGCTTAATAAGATTCATGCATTCTTCCACTCCACGGGTGGGAGGTATTGAGGTGTGTTTACTACTTAAAAGTGAGCACTTCGTAATTTTGAAAGAGAAAGAAAACTACTTCTTATGCATAGGACCTCCCACTCTACAGTTCAGCTTTTTGCACGCACACACACACACACACACACACACCTCCACTAAGCTTCCCCTCTTTCCTTCCCTCCCCTGGTTCCACGCTGTGATAACTACTCAAAGTGAAAAGCTCACAGTTTGGAGGTAATTATACACAACCAGGACTACAATTGATCACAGTTAGGTGCACTTAAGCTGCAATCCTATACACAGATATCTGGGGAGGTGGGGAGTAAGTCCTATTGAGACACGTACGGTTGTGCAGTACTGCGCAACATACTTCTTTCAAGAGGCTTAAGTGTGCCCGACTCTGTGCTGGATTGTGGCTTAGTTGTCTACGGCAAAAAGCTGATGTCAGTCCTTAACTCAGGCACTGACTTGTGGCTTTTCTCATGTCACATTCATAAATAGTTATTAATCGTTTACCCAAAGATCACAAAGAAGTGACAAAGCACAACTAATCATTCCTAAAACGCTTTGTGACACATTGCTGGAAAGGCTGCCGTCAGTGGATCAGTGCAGCTGCCAATCCTCTTCCCTTCACACAACAGAAGATTCGCAGCATCACCTTGATTTGGCAGGATTTTACATTTGCTTTAAATTATGGATGACCCAAAAAAGGCGGGGGCAAGATTTAATCTTGTACTCTGGAGAGGGAGCTATTGTGTGGACGTGCAGTTCCACCCGAAATATACCATATGGGGGGGGGATATTAGGGGAGAAGGATTACAAAATTGTGATTGCCTCTTTGGAACACAGGAACTAGATAGGTTGAAGGTTCCTTCCCAGCACACAGGAATTGCTTACAAGTGTCCTCAAAAGGCCAGTGTTCAGGAAAAGCCTCTTCTAAGCTGTTTTTTTTTAATTTTAATTTGAGGTAGGCAGAATTTGAAGAGGCTTTTCCAAGAAGCACTTTATGAGGACCTTCCAAGGATGACTTCCATCTTCTGAGATTTTTATTGAAACATGGCAAAAACCAGCTCCTTGGAAAATACAGGGGGGCAATTGTTTGCGATTACATTTAATATGTGGCCAAATTATTAGAAGTAGTGTGGCATGTGGCCCCAGAAACTTGTTCAAAAGGGAAATGTGGCCCTCCAGCTGAAAAAGGTTCCTCATTCCTGCTTCATGTAGGAAATAATGTGCCAAATGTATGTACACAATCACAGCTGATAATAATCAAATATTTGGTGTTCCAACATGGAGTACATGCAGTGTGAAACCACAACTGGTTGTGACTTCCTACAGCATGCACATGTAGTGAAGTACACCTGTGCAATATACACATGTGACACACTATGCACAGGGCTGCATATTATAAGCTGGAACACTTAGCCACAATGAGCACTTGGACGAAGCGGAAAGGGCTGGGTAGAATTTAAATAAATAAATGCTAAACTGTAGGGAAAGATAACATAAGATGCTTAGCTAATGCAGGCTGGTTGCTTATTGAATGGAGAAAACAAGGTCAAATGGGGACATAATTAAATCACTGAAGAAAAATCTAGGAAATTAGGGTTGATTGTCTACCATGACACTCTTAGGAAGTTTGTATTTAAAAAATGAAAAAATGTGGAGGTGGAGGAGAGTTAATCAGCTGAGACTGCTCTAAAAGTGATAAGGGTTCACCACTGAAATTCAAATCAGGGAATTCAAATCTTGATCCTTTATTTAGTTTTCTGTCCTCCATGTTCAGATGTGTGTTCCCCCCGCCCAAAACCAGAGTAGTGATTGCTACTGATGATAGGGTTATCCAGGTCATCTTTTGCTCAGAAGCTGCAGTCAGGCCAAGCGTGCTTATGCCATGCTTCATATCTGTGTGTTTTATGCATCCAGAATCTATCTGAAGGCAACAGAGGGAAGAGGGAGGGATTATGAGTGGGCTGCAGTCCCAGGAGACGAGGCTGGCTCTGGGATAGTCATGGGGGAGGGAGGCATGGGGGAAGATGTCTGCTTTTCATCATTGTCAAAATGTGGGCTGCAGCTGTCAGGATGTCATAATTGTAGCACATGACCCCACCAGCATGGGGGTCTAAAATTAGCGAAAGAGGCAGAGTGTGAGAAAGGCAGGCAGGCAGGCAGGCAATTGCACGCTGATCTTATCGTAGTTGAGCCATTAGCGTTCATATCTGAGACCGCGAAACAGGGCAGGCAAGCCCAGGAGGTGAGGGTGATGGCACAGGGCAGGACTGAATCCCTGTAAGCCATGTTGAAGGATCCTTGAGCCCTCTCAGGAAGGAAACAAGTGTCAGAGAATGCTCTGTCAGCTCCCTTCTCTCTCCGTCGCTGGCCATTCTGCTGGTTCCTTCAAAGATTTGGGAGTCCAAGAGTACAAGTGGCTGTGGCTTTTCACGGGGAAGGATCCCAGTAATCCAGCTGGTCAGCTTCATAGTTTTCTGAAAGAGACTTCCTCCAGAACTCTGGATCATTGCAAAGCAAGTTCGCTACCAGCAGAGGAGGCGGTGGCATTGAATCTGTGATCTTCGGTTCCTGCATTCTGCTGCTCTCACACAACTCCCCCCATGTTGCTGGTTCTCAGTGTGCTGACCCTGATACCGTGCCTGTTCCTCTTGACGTGGTACTTTTTCTCCACAGGAGGGAAAAGTGGTGGCAACAAGAAGAACGATGGCGTCAAGGTAAGTCCTGGGCTCATAAAGCCACCAGCTTGCCTGTACTCAAGAAGGCAGGAATGTTTGGGCTGGTGGACTGTGTGGTCATGGGTCCCTGCGTGGCCTAGGCCCTTTGTGTTAAGGCCTTGCATTAGTGGATCTCTTGCATCATCCTCTTCTCATCATGAAATACATTTCCACACTCTGAAAGCAAAAATGGAAAAACAAATACCTTTACCTAAGCAAAGTTTGCTGCTTAGAGTAATGGATGCCTTGACTCATGTTCAATTTGCTTGGCTAACTCATATCCTCATAATCTCTTCCCATTCCTGCTTTCTTTTCATAAAGAGGAGAAAAAAAAGCTTGTGCCTTTCTCCTACCGTTTTACTGTTACTATGCTACTGTCATTTCGGGGAAATAGAGCCAATCCAAATGTTTGGAGGCCATGGTGAAACAGCCCCATAAGAGGACAGCAACTCACAAGTCCAATTGATTCAGAAATCTGGAGGTTGATGCTCCTACGGTCCTTGTGTGGGAGTGAATTATCCCACAGTATGCCTCAGAAATCAGGCAGGCCTTCTTCCTGGCTTGTTATCTTTCTGTGTGAAGGAATATCTTGACAAGGAAGCACTTCCAAACAAATCAACACCTGAGTGAATTTGGAGGTGTTATGGATCTGCCAAGAGATCTTTACCACATCCCCCTGCCCAACAATTTGAATTGGCTCTAGGGCATTTCTTAATACTGTAAAGGGGGCTGTGACAGGTAAGACAAACTGAAAGACACTTAATATGGAAGAGAGGGAGATGGGATGGGGAGTGGGAGCAAGGATGACTCTTTCTTTGATTGGCTCCTGAGGACATCAGTTTAGACTGAGCCTCTGAGCAGTGGCGAGGGGCCCAGCTGCCACCTTTTCTTTTCAGATAGGTCATTACTGTTTTATTTGTGTCGTGAGTCTCCCATGGTGGCCTGATGAACTATCTTCTGATCAACTGAAAACCTGGGAGGAATGAGAAAATATACATGTTTCTGTCATCAACCCAAAAGGAGGGGAGAAAGGGGTTAGAACTGAAAACAGAACTAGGGACACAAGTAATCCTCCCCAACACACACACACACACATACACACTCGCCTCCTCCAGGTTTTTGATTCTACATTGGTCCCTTTGGGTTTGCAGCACTCATGTCATGCCTTGAAACCTGGTTCATTGATTTGGCAGAGATGCAGATTAATGGATGAACAGGTTTGCTCATTCCAGTGACATCACCCATTCCAGCTCTGAAATATTTGTGAAGTTTGAATACTAGCGTTTGAAAGAATGGCTTTGTGCTGATATTATAATGATTTTCTTTTCTGGAAACCAAACTGGAGTATTCTGGACAGGTGCCTGGCATCTCTTTCCACGGTGCCAAATTGAGACTTGGTGGCTATCTGAGGATGTGGCAAAGGTTTCTTCAAAGAATGAAGAAGATTCTGACAACAGTGTTCCTTGGCCAAGAGATACACTTACGCTTGCCCATCTGCCTATTTCCTATGCTAACAGCCACTCCTGGCACTGTCATCTCACCCCCATTTCCTTGCAGAAATACCCCAGATGGACAGACCTCAATTCCAGCAGTGGAATCCCACTTGGCTTAATTGTCAAATTGGCTTGGCTGCAGATTCTCCTTCCCCCTCACCTTGTTTGGTTTTGATATCCCCCTCTGTAGAAGGAGATGGCTGTTGGCACCACAAATTGTGGGGTCTAGTTCACAATCTCATGGTTAGCTTGCCTTTCTGACGAAACTCTCTGGTTTAACCAGTTCATGCTAACAGACAGAACCTACCTACTGTGTTTGAAGTAAGATGGTAATGGCAACACCCCCCATTGCAGAAAGGATATTACCCCCTACTTTGGCTACACCTTTTAGTGAAAAAGTAGATATTTATGTGCCACCTCTGCAAACATGCTATCCATGAAGAGTAGAAAGGACGACGGACCCCCTTCACCAATAGTTTATTGAGAGAAGAGGCTTTGCCCCTCTTGTAACCAGTGGATACTCAACAAGTTCACTGCCCTGTGTCACATCCTGTTACATTGTTAATTAATGCAATCACTGCCCCATGTCACATCCTGTTACATCCTAAATTAATAAAGTCACTGCCCTGTGTTGCATCCTTTTATTGTATGTACGTCCTACTTTAATAAGGTCACCACTTTTGTGTTGCGTCATGTTGCGTCAATTGCTTCTACAGTTACCGTCCAGTAAGGTTTCCTAGACAGTTCTTGGTATGTTCTCATTGGAGCCACCATGCATCTGAGCCTAGCTACCTCCATCATATATAGCTTAAGTACCAAATCTAAGAGTTGTAGTAGAGTCTGTTCTCTGTCTTTTTGTTGGCTTTGGAGAAGAAGCTGTAGAGGGCTAGCTGAGGATATCATATGATGAAATAAAGCAGTCAGAATCGCCAAGTGCCAATGGGCTCGTTCTACTGTAGCTCATAGAACGCATTTCATCTCACCAGATATACGCAGTTTTGATACCTTTTTAAATAAATAATAGTGAAGAAGATTAGGATGGAGGCTTCTACACTGTGCCTATGGTGAGCCTGTTTAGATGCTGCATTTTCTGGATTTCATCTAGATCCATTTCCCAAGTTTCTTCTACAGGACAGAAAGAAGTAGTGTGAAGAAGGCAAGAAGAAGCCAATAATGGATTTGTGGGGTAGGAAATAGAGAACTTATTCAAGACTCTTTTGAGTAATAATTAGGAATCTGACATGATGTGCCTCTCTTTTGATGTACATTAAAGCACTGTGTTGAGAGAAGCTCATCAAGAATCAAAAGACAAAAGTCTTAAATCTTGAATTATTTGCAGGATTTCTACTGTGAGATGTTCAGTACTACTTTGAGGCGTAGAAGGAGCTTCTTAGGTCATGTCTGCAATGCAAATAAACTCACTTCCACCATTTGGCATTGTGTTGATTTACCACCTTTGGTACAATGCTGGGATTATATGAATCAGACTTTCCACTCCTAAAAACTGCAGTCGTAGTCGATGTAAACATTGCAGTTTGTCTGTGGTTTCAGTCATTCTCTCAAGGTTTTATCACACTTTAAAAAGAAATCGCCGGTGAAAGCTATGTGATAGCATATTCCTGCACACTGCTCTGTTTCTTCTCACCCAGATACTTGTTGCTGCACTTGCACAAATCTAGAAAAAGGGGGTCACTTGGCTCAAAGTTTGAACATCATCTACTTTATTTGTATTTTTCATGCCCTAGCAAGCCTCTCCTAGCTCTGATATAGGCATTCACATCCCACCTAAACAACCCCGACTCTGATTTGGTGCAATGTACAGCATTATAACTGGGCTGCTCCAAACAAACACTGATATTATCTCATAACCATTGCAAATGGCAAGATGCTTGCATCTTAGTGTGGATAGTGAAGACTTTTAAGTGCTTTACTGGTACCCAAATTATCATGCCAAAATGATGTGCAGACGTGACCTTAGAAGAGTGATCACTGAAGACAGGATGAGAAGCAACAAATTTCGATCACAGTGAGAATGCAGATTTAGATTAGTGAATAACAAGACTGTTCAGCACTAGTGTAACTGTCTATGAAGGCTTTCAGAGATGCTATAGATGTAAAATGCCCATCCTTATTCGGTGCAGTGGAGGATCATTTGGATTTCTTCTGGCTTTATTCTTTTAGGATTCAAAGTGAACAATTCCAGTCTTTAATGTCTCCAGCTTCTTGCTGCCACAAGTAGAATGATGCAAAGTCACAGTGGCAAGGAGGGTTGGAAAAGTATAGCATTTCATTTATGGAGGGCTGTATTCAGATATTGTTGTGTCCACAAGTTAAGTTGGTGTGGCAGTTTTAGCTTGATGACTAGTATTTACGGATCTCAAAACATGATTCCTCTTTAGCTTGGAAATCTTTTGTTGGATTGGATTAGAAAATGGCAGGAGAGATGTTAAGGTGGAGCCCTGCCCTGGGTCAGGATATTAAGGTTCATAGGGATGCCGACATCTGTGGGTCCAAACATAGAATATTGGACAAGGCTGATGGATTTGTTAATTGTGCTGGAAGGTTAGATTGGCATGGTTTGCATTGTGAGAGTTTTGACTTCTCTTTGGCATTAAGCATCAGATTTATTCACAAACTCTTCACCTTTGTAGTAGGATGACAAAAAGGTGTCCTAGGACCCACTGCGTCCCATGTTCTGCTCTCTTCCTTCTTTCTCACTCTGTGTCTCTTCTTGTCCTATCTCTTCTCCTTGTTTTTCCAGAAAAGAAAGTCCAGTTCCAGCGTTCAGTTAATGGTGAGTGTCCTTTGTCTTCCTCAATGCTGATAATGTTGGGCCTCTCAACATGTTCCAGCCCTCCCTGTTTTGGGGAATCACTCTGAGGTGTGGAGAGCAGGGCTGAAAGTAATTCCTTCAGAGCAGCATCCTCCCCTATGGGGATCCTTCTAAACAGGAACGGCTGGAACAGAAGGATAGTTGAAGCCCAAGAGCACTGAGAACCTAATTCCATTTTCTAGCGAAAGGTTCTCCATGGAACTTCTCCTCTAGCAGATCTGCAAGCTGCACCAGTCCAAGCAGCCATGAAGGAAAGGCCATCTTATATGGCTTTGCTGGAACTGTTCGGTCACAGGAGACCAAATGGCTGGCATGGCCTTGGTCAATCTGCTGTTTAATATTGTTTGCAATATGTCTCTGGTGGGATGAACTGGTGGTTGCAGCCCAGCTACCAGAGTTGTCTTGATGAGAAGCAAATGGTTCCCTTTCTCTGTGTTAATCTGTGTACCAGTTGGCTGTTTATGGAAAGAGGTGTGTGTCAGCCTTTGGCGGTCCATGTGGTTCTTGGCAGCCCTCTCTGTTTGAGTGTACATTTCTTTCTTTACTATGCGGTCAATGTGGTCTCTTTCACTCCTGCACAATCTCCCTCACTCTCTCATCCTAGCTCCCTCTCTTTGTTAATTTGTACATTCCTCTCCCAACTGTAGTCAACATGGTGTCTTTCACTCCTACACAGCCCTTCTTGCCCCCTGCTAGCTGTAGCTGTAGGAGATGTCAAGCCTCTCACTCCTGATAGTAGTGCAGTGGAATACTAGTGAATTCACTCCTGCAAGATTCTTCACAATCGGACCTCCGACTCAGTTGTCGTTTCAAAGTCAAGACAAGTATTACAGTCACAAAGCAAAATCTGTGGTTACTGACAAGTGCTTTTATCTGATGCTTACCTGGTTTTCGTCCCTTTGCAGTGTTTGGTCCTGTTGAGGTAGAACCTGGGTGATGGGTTACCGGTCAGGATTTTTCTGGGGGGGGAAGCCATTTGGGTGCATCTTATTTTGCTTTTGTCCTCTCCGTTCTTTCTCCAGGAATCTTCAGAGAGCACAAACACCACCATTGAGGATGAAGACACCAAAGGTATAGTATAAGACTGTGGCGGAAGAGGTAAAAGGAAACCCATTTTAGTCAATGACTTCCAGTAAGCATGAGTTGTGAGACTATGGACCCCTAGGCAATTCTCGCTGTCAGCCTATATAGGTAGAGCTGTTCAAATACTAAAATGAAATTTGAAGTTTAGGGTTTTATTTTTCATCAGTTTTTCAATGAATGAAAACTTCATCCTTACTCTATAGCCCACTGATCAGGATTGGTCAGTAAAACTGTTCAGCTATCACAAAACTATTCTGTTGTGAATTTGCAATCTAAAACTTATTTTGTGAAGTAAAAGAAAAATCAACTGTGTGGAGAAATTTACTGTGATGCGTCTAAAAGACTCAAATTTCATTATAAGTGGTCCTGTATCAGTTTATGTGCAATGCGCAAAATTCTCCTACAGAATAATACCGCTGTTGTGACTACCATTTGTGAATTAGCAAGGCAATTAGACCTCATTTGTACATACCACTGCACCACACCTACTCAGGGACATAGCGCTGGAGGGGGGGTGCTGCCAGGGCGATGACCCTGGGCACATTTTTCTGGGGAGCACTGCGCATTTGGCTCTTCCCGCCTCCTGCCAGCCCTGCACCACATGACGAGGCTGGGATCGGATCTGAATGATTTGCCGGGTGAATCATTCAGATCAGATTCCAGCCTCGCGAAGGGGCATAGGGCTAGCAGGGCAGCATGCGAAGGACTCAACAGTCATGCACCTTTCAATCCCAGCCTTGCCTTTGCCATTGTCTTTGGCCATTTGCTATGCATGCAGGGGCTAATGAGAGTTGAAGTTCAGCAATATCTGAAGACTCAGGTTTGCAAAAGGCTGCCCTAGATACTTAAATCCCTTGCTCTCCCTCGGTTCAGCTTGCAGTGTGTTGTGATTTTTCTAACAACTTGGCAAACACTGACTTTTTCATTCCTCTTCTCCACCGAGTCCCTATGGAAGTAGTTTCACTGTCACCATTTTAAACCAGTCTTTGGGAAGAACCTTAGTGAGGCCTCTTTCTTACTGCCTGACAAGGCCACAGTGTTCCCATAATAGCTTGGGAATCAGTGTTAATTTGTAAAGTCTCCCCAAATGAAAGGAACCCATCTGCTGTGGAGATGGACTTTGGCCTGACATTAAAGTTAATTGAAAATTTGTCTCTCTGGGAATAACTCCCACAGGAAAGGCAGGAGTGTGTGTGTGTGTGGCAAATTAATATGAAATGATAGAAACACTGCTGATGAGGAAAGGCTTCCCTGCGCATTTTATCATTAACCACTTTGTCTCTTTAGTATAGGGAATTAGATCTACCCACAGGACACCCATATTTTAGCCTTATTAATAAGCACATTGGAATGCTTTGGCACAGTCTTTTGGAAGATCCAGTTCCCTGAATGTGTTGCTGGATTTCTAAGAGATTTCAGCCCTCTTGCAGATCCAACAAAAAGCAGAGGTAAGGAAGGAGGACAGAAAAGAATCATCCTAAAATTTGTATTGTCTTCAAGGCTTCTTTAAAGTGAAAAGGAGGGTAATGGTGAGGTCTCTGTGTTTGTTTTTAAAAGAAGTTTGTTGTTCCAAACTTTAAAGCATCTATCTTTTGAAGGGCAGTGAAAGAAACCTGAGGAACTTGACTTGGCACATTTTCTCATTCCTTTGGGGGGGGGGAGGCACAAAGAGGCTGTTCATATTTTGTTGCTGCAAGCAACCCACACAGATTCTGACACAGGGATCCAGGTAAACCTCACAGCCACTACTTCAAGCCTGCCTTTCAGGAATAATAATCCCATATAATCGGGGCACACAGCCTCCCATGACAAGTCATTTGTTCACAAGGGTGTAGGGGCTAAAAGCACATGAGATGCAAGTACCTGTAACGAGTCCCAGCACCATTTTTTAAAAGAAAAGGTTTGTGAGGAAGGCTTTTTTTTGTGAGGAAGCCTTGGGGCAGAGAAGCCAGTGGCTTGGGATACTGTGTGCTTAATTCTTTCCCTATCTGGCATTTCTCAGCTCATCAAGCTGCCATCCCCACAACAGCTTCCCTATGCAGAGAGCAAAATTACATATTTACCAGTGTTTTGAACCTTTAGAAACTTAAAGGAAGGAAAAAGTTGCCTCCTCACATATCTTGAGCTTTTAAACACAAGCCCGAAGAAGGGAGCACCTTGTAACATGTCATTCATTTACTCATTTTATGCTTGATATCAATTAATACTAATCCTGCAATCAATCCTAGTACTACTACTAATAATAACAAAACAACAACAACCAGTAGTTTCTAAAGAAATCCTGCTGTTTGGTGTGTTTTCCCTCACAACAGCTTCCATCTGATTTGAAAACATAAGCCACAATCACCGTTAAGTTGAGGTGTGTACATTTGAGACCACCATTGCACATGCTCAGATGACAGCTTAACACATAGGAGTTTGGCAGGGAAACCAAACAGGTAACACACATCAGGTGAAGGCATCCCGGCCCCCTTTCTGGTGCGTACAGTGTGCAACTGCATCTTGAAACACAGCAGGCCAGTAGAAGGGGACAACCTCGCGGTGCTTTAGGCCACGAAGAGTCTCAGGCCTCTGAATACAACAGGTCCCACTTGGCACCTGTGTGGGTCTCCTGACTGGTGTGACCAGAGCCATCTCTCCAGTGAAGATGCTGCTACTGGTGTGGGAAGCTCCCACAAACTGGCGAGCCGTGTTTGCATATGTGATTGTCACACCCCCTGGCCATAGCCTAAGACTGTGCAAAAAGTTGCACATGCAAAAGGAGATACCACCATGGCTATTCTAACAGTGCTGCTCAGAGTGCCAGGAAAGCAGCCTGCCCTGCCAAGGTTTGTTTTTAAATGAAGTGGCAGTCACTCACTCATGGCCAAAAGTGAAAACAAGCTGCTCTTTGGCCAAGAAAGGTGCCGTTTTCTAACAACGCTCTCCTCCGCCTCTTCTCAGTCCTTAGTCTGCACTGATGCCTTTTGTTCTCATTCTACCCCCTCTTACTATCCTTCCCCCGCTGCCAGGGTCTCTTTGCTGCTCCATTTGTTTCCTCTGCCAGTTCCTCTCCCTGCTGGGGTGTAATGTAGCTGAGCAACAAAAGCTTGCCTCCCTAAGCCTGGTGTAATTGCTTGTCTGTGCCTCAGCCACTGTGTTGAAAGAGCTGTGCAGGCTGGCAGGAAAGCACCAGCCATGTCTGTAAATGCCTCTGAAGGCTGCTTGTGTGTCACCTGCCAAGCACCATCACAGCTGAGGTGTTTATGGTAAGGCTTGCCCTGTAGTTGATTCTTCCAAGGCTGGGAACTAATCTGCCACCTCCAGCCTGCATAGCTAAATGGACAGGCGTTGTGGTCCAGCGACATCAGGAGGGCTGCATGGACCTCACCCCCGCTCTAGGCAATCACTAAATACTGAGCTGGCCTATCCCTCAGCCCTTCCACTGAGAGGTAGAAACAACCAAAGATTTCTAAATCTTCCTCATTCTGGAGGAGTATCTTTTCCCAGCCGTTTTTATAATCTCTCCATCTAGTAAGTCTTTCTTTAAATTCCCCCCCTTCTGCCAGACTATCCAGGGCTGTCTGTACGTTAAAATAAATAAATAAATAAATAAATCTGTATGCAAGCAATTCAGTTTTCTAGTTTTGGTAGTTCTGAGAAGGGCAGAAGCAAAGAAGCCCTGTCCTCAACTTCTGATCTTCTTGGCCGCCTGCTGAGATTTTCAAAGGCATTGCCCCAAAGATTTTCAAATACATCTTCACAGCAATAAGGACTAGAAACTTGAGGTGTTTTTTAAAATGAAAGCAGGCATTTTTAGAAAGTCGAGTTCTACGTGCACTACCACTTTCTGCGGTTCACAGCACTGTGACATCCACACAGCTCTAACAATGCCCTTTCTCACTGTCTTATTTACATTCAATATTTTCTCTCCCTTCTTTCCCCCCCCCCTTAAACCAACAGTACGAAAACAGGAAATCATTAAGGTGACGGAGCAGCTGATTGAAGCAATAAGCAATGGGGACTTTGAGTCCTACACGTGAGTGTGCCCAGTGGGTGTCTTGACTTTAACAAGAGAGCGAAGTATATTCCTGAGCTGGCCCAGTATGGAGGAAGAGGGTTAGCAGGAAATCCTTCAAATGGCCTTAACTGTGAAAAAACAGTTTTGAAATGTCAGGTTGCTCTGAAGGCAAGCAAATTAGTGTTTTTCTTTTATGGGTTTTCAAAGCACAGCTAGAAATGGACTTCAAGAACTTGTGTTTTCCGTTTCTTCTGTTCCTACCGAGCCACTCTGTCATTATTATCTCCCATCAAAATTAAAATGGATGGATTCATTTTGCAGTCTGGCCAAGGATAAATCGCAGCTATTACTGCTGAGTGAGCAAGCAAAGGCCCTGGATTCCTGGTTAAGAGAACAAAGAAGCATGGGTTTATTGACGAAGAGTAGAGGCTGCTGAGTTTGTTTTTCTCCTGTCTACAAGAAGGGCCTGTTTGAAAACAAATGTGCAAACAAAACCCCTTTCTGTCTTTATGAATCAACCAGTTAGCACGGTAATGTTATGGGAAGGAGCACAGGTCAGTGCTGGAGCTTCTGCATTTTGTGCAGAAAGTTCCATGCTCAATCCCTGGCCTTCCCAGGTAGAGAGCTGAGAGAGAAACCAATAGGCTGACTCAGTATAAGGCAGATTCCCATGTTCCTAAATGAAGCTTACTTTACGCTCATCTCAGCATAACTTCAAAATAGTTAGCACTAACTCATTAAAGCTTAACAAGATAATGAGGAACCCAAAGTTAACCTCCGTAATTTATAATAGTATTTCCATTGTGGGTAATGGGTTAAATGAGTGCCTTTCACCTATTTATTTATTTTTAAATATACTATTTGAAACCTCATCAGTTTGAAACCCATCTGTTTACTAAGGCAGGATGCCAGCACACTGGAACTGATGCATGTTCTGCTAACTTCAATAAGGCTGGATATATTTTATTGATTTGTTTTGAATCTGCCCAAGGATGGCTCCATAAAGTCCCCCATGCAGTTGGCAGCGTGGCATAAAACAACAATTAATACAAACAATATGAAGCAATATCGGATTAGATTACAGATATAGACAACAAATCAAGAACAAATCAGCGGAAAGGAAGAGTCGACGGAGAACCTTCCCTAGTAGATTTATGAAACATAAAAATCTCTGCCAGCTCACACAGTCAACAAAGCGACCCTCCCACCTTCCCTCCCAAAAGCCCACTGGAACAAAAGGATTTTTTGTCTTTTAACTAAGTTTCTAAAAATAAAAAATGAGCTGATGTGGTGAGTCTTCAGGAAAACAGCGTTCCATAATGAAGGCGCTACTTACAGTTGTTTTCCCTCTAGCCTCTGACAAAGATGAAAGTTAAAGCAGAGACCTGTCAGATGATTTTGATGTATTGGTGGGTGGTCTCATACAGGAGCAGGGACTGTTCTCTAATATGAAACAGACCATAACCATTCAGGGCTATTAACACCAGCCCTGCAGATTGTGGTTGGAAAGACATTGGGAGCCAGCACTGCTCTGAGTTTATTCATACTTACCTGGGCTTAGAAAGAGCCCACCTGCCAATACATCAAAATCAGAGCAAATGTCAATTCAGATTTTTTGTGGATTGCCATTTGCTCTGATTGAGCTTTAAAGAGCGGGTTTTTGCGGGGAAAGCTCTGGGGCAAATAAAGGGCACTCAAGACATGGAGCTTGTCCATCCTGCAGGAGGATTTTACAGATGCTTCCTTTAACCTGCCACCAAAATGACAATTTCTTCAATCCGTTAGGAAATTATTGCAGCCCCTCACTCTTCAAAACTGAGAAAAACATGTCCTTTAAGGTCACAGGCCAAGGAGCAGAGAAACTATTGAAGTATGTCACTGAGCACAGTGGTATGCTTAAGAGCTAAGATAAATAAATTAAAATATATTATGAGAAATAAATTATGTATTTGTATTGCATAGACAGGTTAACTTCATTGGTGTTAAATCCATAGGAATGAAGACATGTGACTAGACAATGAGGTTATTTCACTTCCTTTTCTCTCTCCACCCTGACCCTGGTCCTTTCATGGGCTCTTCCAGGAAAATGTGTGACCCTGGGATGACGGCTTTTGAACCAGAAGCTCTAGGGAACCTGGTGGAAGGGCTGGATTTCCATAGATTCTACTTTGAAAACTGTAAGCACCCTCCGCCTTGTCAAAAGGCCCTTTGACTCTCTTATCAGAATGGAAATATTTGCAATATTGGGTCACTTCATCAGCCTTCTAGCCCAGTGACCAACCTCTTAACTACAACCAGTTTGTTTTAAAATAAAGTATGTTAAGAGATTTGAAGGCATATAGATGGAATCTTCTATCCTGTTACCCGCCAAGATTCTGCTTGTCAGAGTAGAAATTTCATCCTTTGATGAACATTTTGGTTCACAACACTAGATAGGCCTAACATCCCTTAAATTTGTCTTATCTCTTTTTGAGCTTTCTGAAAAGATAAGGACAACTTGGCTGAACTAGCACATGCATTTAAGGGCAGGACAGCATATCAGAGATACAGCACGAACTCAGATTTAATTGCTGACACCTCCTGTTAAAAAGCATATCTGTATCAAGGCTAAGAAAGACATCTGTCTGAGGCCCTGGAAAGTCATTCCCAGTCTGAATAGACCATGCTGGGCTGGATGGACCAATAGTATGTGTCAGCTTTGTAAGCTCATAGGTATGCATTTGAAGGTTTACTTCTAAGTAGACTTGGTTAGGGTTGTGCTCTTAATCTCTCACTCATTTCCAAAGTTTCAAACCAAATCATAAATGGTTGAATGTAGAGTGGATGAGCAGGATTCACTTAATGAACCCTGTCAGCACCAGCCCTATTTGAGGGTTTCTGCTTGCACAGTGCCCCATCCCCAATGGCTGGGGTGGGGGTCAGGAGAACCGCCCCCCCAGAACAACACATGGGGGGTGGGATTGTTCCACCTGGCAAGCTACAGTACTTTTGCTGACAATGTTGAAATCCCAAACAATGTTTTTAGTTTTTAGAATGTGAACTGGTCAGTGAATGCAGTTTAATGAATTTTTAAGAGAATAATCTCCCTGCGATTGGGACATAAACTGAAACAAGCCTAGAAATATTCTGCATATGCCTTCTTTTTCCTTGTTGCTACAGTGATTTTATAAAGATTAGAGAAAGATGTCCGTCCTAGTTACCGTATTTTTTGCTCTATAAGACTCACTTTTTCCCTCCTAAAAAGTAAGGGGAAATGTGTGTGCGTCTTATGGAGTGAGTGAATGCAGGCTGCGCAGCTATCCCAGAAGCCAGAACAGCAAGAGGGATTGCTGCTTTCACTGCGCAGTGATCCCTCTTGTTGTTCTGGCTTCTGAGATTCAGAATATTTTTTTTCTTGTTTTCCTGCTCCAAAAACTAGGTGTGTCTTATGGTCTGGTGCGTCTTATAGAGCGAAAAATACGTATGTGGGGACGCAGGCAGCATTGATCTCACTGGCTTTCCTCTCAACCCCCAGTGTGGTCTAGAAACAGCAAGCCGGTCCACACTACCATCCTGAACCCTCACATTCACTTAATGGGAGATGAATCTGCCTGCATTGCCTACATCCGCATCACGCAGTACGTCGACACCAGTGGGATCCCTCGCACTGCACAGTCGGAGGAGACCCGAATCTGGCACCGCCGGGATGGCAAATGGCAAATTGTTCACTTCCACAGATCTGGAGCACCTTCTGTCTTACCACAGTAAGTCATCCCCAGGCCTTGGTGAACCCTCTCAAAGCCACTCTTGTCATACCACTGAAAACTGAATATTCCGTTTCTACAGTGTAAACGGGGGTAGATAAGTGTAAATTAAAGGTGAGAGTATAAGCAAGGCAGTAGAAGGAAAGAACAGCAGCGAAGGCCAAATGTAACACATCTATGCATGGCTTAACGATATTTGTAGCTAGGTCAAAACCTTCCTGAAAGAACTTTTATCCATGTCAGTGGCCCCCCACTTTGTTGTGCCTGGGGGCGCTTTTGGAAATCTAAGTAACTGTTGTGGGCACCACAAAATAAAATAAATTTCCCAGAAGAAAAACTGATAGTGCTCAGACCCCCCCCCCCCCGGTCTCTCAAAATCAAACACCTACACCACTACTCCCAACAAATAAAACAGATTTTTTTCCAAAAAAAATTGCAACACCACCCCCCCAAACCACAATTTTGAAAACAAAACTTAAAATTGGAGGGGGCCTTGACAGATGCCTAAGAGTGCTGTAGTGCCCACAGGCACCACATTGGGAACCCCAGACGGGGATTATTCATTTGCCTTTATGCAAGGATGCATTCATGGCATTAAATTACAAGAGATTTGAAGGCAATTCATGCATATTTAGTTTAACCTCCCACCAGTTACAGTCACACATTATTGTTTGATGATTTGCTAAGATCCACATGCATGCTACCAGAATGGAGAATACCCTGCCCCCCATGTGGTAGGCTCATTGGTGGCAATGGCATGTATGGAATAGAAGTGTCTAATGATTGGTTCTTGGAGTTATAGCAAGTTTAACATTCTTTCTCTGTCTCTCTCAGACCCAGTTCACAGGTCACTTTTTCACATGGTAATTTCACCACGTCAAATTGATGTATGAACATGATGTATGAATCTGGTCCCGTGACAGGAGATATTTATTATGCCAGAGCAAGCCAAATTGATTGCAAAATATCAACCCAACCTGGTTTATATTGGTTTAGAAGTTTCAACTTTTAGTGATGTCATTCAGAATTGGGGCTCCCACGTTCTTCTCCCCATCACCATTCCTTTTCTTACTGTGATGTTATGACTGTCATAGGTGTTTTCTCAGTAAAGAAAGATGCATCCTAGTATTTCATGTTAACTTATGCACTGCCAGTTTAAATCATCAAAAGAAATGAAAATAACTTTATTATCCATAAGGTAGAGTTGAAAGTGAAGAGGGAAAAACTGTGTTATTTTATCACTCTCTAAACTTCTTGATAACAAGGTGCGAAGGTGCAGAAATGAAGTTAAGGGTATACACTGTTTGTTTTTTAATAGGCGGGAACATTCAAACACACAAGCCCCCACCTGCACTCTGGAATGATACAGTCCAGCATCAGATACTTCACGTGTGTCTGATCATCTGTTTCTGATGTGAGTGCAAGAAGATTCCATATGGGCATCCCTGATAGCAGAGAAGAGTATCTTTTGTCCAGGTTTGATGAGACGCCACGGCTAGCCCTTAGTGGCCAGCGTGATAGGGGTTACTCACTCTGTTGAAAACTACTACTGAAGTTAGAGTCATTCATTCATTGCTTTTATGAATTGCCTCTCTACTTAAATAAAAAAGTGTTCAAGGTGATGTACAAGAACACACCCCGCTGGGGCTTAAACAAATTTGTTTATAGTTAGGGATGGAGGAAAAATGTCATGCAAACCTGTGTAATTCCCACTTGTGAAATTCAGAAAATGTTCAGAAAATGTGAACAAAAATATGTCTGTTAGGGGAAAGTGTGCATAAAATACATATATATTAGTGAAAGCAACATGCTAAAATGCATTGCATTAGATAATTTACTTGCAAAAATGTGTATATTAGGAGAAATGTGCACTAAAATGCAGGCAAATCTTAATGAGGACTTTTAAAAAAGAAAAATCACAGACTGATACAAATGTGGCGAACTTAAATTAAGGTGGGGGGGGGACAGAGAAAAAGTGAAACTGACAGAATCATCTACCCTATTTGTGGTAGCTGCTTTTCCTGTTTGCCTCCACACTAACTGTTTTCTGAGGAATTGCCGTCCTTCCCTCATTTAGGTACCACAGAGAATCCAGATGACATTTTTGTCAGATGGTTGCATTCTGGTGTTTTCTGTGTCACCTTGCCATATCCCCCATCCCATATCAAATTTGTGGCAATTTTCCCACTAGCTTGTTCAGCATGGTTATGCAGAGAGCTATTGATTCAACTGGCTTTTACTTCTGCCCATGTGCAGCCACTGTTAGACTTTTAGGGGGGAAATTATTTTTGACACTTCCTTATTGCACTGCTGCATGTACAGCAATAGATGCATCCACAAATTTGGGGTGGGGAACCACAACGACATTGTGATGCTCCTTACAGTTTCAAGCCAGAGAGGGTTAGGGAGACTTCTCACTATTTTACAAGCCTCTCTGGGGCTCAGTGCAAGCAAGGGGATTCCCTCCCATCATTTTCTGGTTTCTCTCAGCTGTAGAGCTTGGAATTCTAATGAAAATGCCTTGCCGCACTTCCACTTCAGCATAACAAGGAAGGACCATTTTTTAAAAGCACCTAAAATGGTATGTCAGGCAATGGAGGCCTAATCCTTCCTCTGTCCCCTGCTTCTCAGAGATGCCTTGTGGCATGTGGGAATTTAAGGAAAAAAGTTAACTGGTGCTCTAGAGTGAATGTACATTCATAAAGGGGTGGAGGAGGCCAATATTTTAAAACAAAATTAATTCCCCTCCCCCATTTTTTTCAATAGCTGCCATGCCCTGTTCCTCCTTCATCATGTGTATAGGCATTGCAGGATGCTAATGGGGAAGATCTGTGCTACACAGAACCGCTATTTTAATTCCCCGTCCAGCTCGCAGTGCAAGAGTGATGTCTCAGCAGCACTAAAGAGGCGTACTGCTTCTTATGCTTGTCTGAGGCTAATTGACAATCTAGGTCTATGCTCCTGCCTGTTTTTCATTTGGGTTCCCTGAATGCTCTGTTCTCCTCTTGAGAGATGGTGGCACTTAGTAGTCTGGGGTGCAAGTGGCTACCAGGATGGTGCAGCCCTCACCCAGCTCTTTTCTTATTCTCCTCCTCCTGCTGCTGCTCTCTTTTCAGGGCAAGGCTTTTCAAAAGTAGTCTAGTAGTGGTAGTTGCGGAAAGAAGGTGGGCCCCCTCAACATGAGTCACATCCACCCCACACATTGAAAGCACTCCTATACCACTTTAACAGGCATGTCTTCCCCCAAAGGATCCTGGGAACTGTGGTAAGTTAAGGGTGCTGGGCACTGTAGCTCTGTGAGGGGTCTCCTACCCAACTCTCAACACCCTTAATGAATGACATTTCCCAGGATTCTCTGGGGCAAAGCCGTGACACCAAAGAACGCTTTCAGTGTACGGTGTGGGTGTGACCGAATGTTTTACATTCTCCTGGACATCTCTTGTCCTCTCGTGATCTTCACTCCTTCACCCCTGCCCTGCCACAAAGCTTGAGAGATGGATGCCAGCTGGAGGACAAGACTTCACAAATAGAAAAGAGTAATTATTTGGGGTGGGGGTGGCTAGGGTTGGGGGGAGAACCAGATGGGAAGGTCACCATTTTGGTGGAGTAAAAAGCCGTTTCCTTTTGTGTTTTTCAGCTGAAGCATCAGCCCCTCAGGCCAGGTTTCTCACTGCCTCACTACAAAGGGAAGATCCCTGCTATCCTTTACCTAGGGAACTTGGCTGCTGCTGCTGACTCTCCTCCTTGGTTCTTGCTGGAATTCCTTTCACACACAGAGCTCCTCACCAAAATAAACCAAGAATTTAATAGACCTTTGCTCCTTCTGTTTCACACGCTCTGCGTTTTGCCACTTTGTGCTATTGTAGTAGAACAGGGCAAGACACCCTATTGCATGAAAAAGCTTTTCTGTGGTTAACAGGAGAAACCCAATGTGGGGGTAGCCTTCAGCCACTACTGCCCACAGAGCTCATGGAACCACCCTGGTTCAGTACTTAAAATTAACTGTGTTCCTCACAAGGACATGGTTTATTTTGCTCTCTTTGCTGTTTTCCACGAAGTCTTAAGGGGCCTGAGAGAAAGGGGAGCATGTTCCAGTGCAGAATCAGAAGCCACCTCCTTGCAATGGCAGATTGATGCCCATCCACACAATGCAAAGTTCTTGCTCGATTATGATCTCAGCCAAAATCAAAAATACTTTTATACTGCCCTGCGTTACCTAAATTCCAGATCGATAAGCATACATGCAACGCAAGATTCTTGCTTGATCATGACCTCAGTCATTTTATTTATTTTAAAATATTTCTATGCCACCATTCATTATTTAAATCTGGAGCAGTTCACACTGCACCGCTGTCACTCATCTACATCTACATCTTCTGTTCTGTGTGAAGTTAAAACCTTACAAGTATCAGCCTATATTCATTAAAGCCTAGTAAAATTCTGCTGGGATGAATATGGCTTTATGGCACATAAAATGCAGAATCCATTTCTCTTCCCAGAGAACGTACCTTTTTGTGTGCCTGGACCAATTGAGGTTCATGACAATTCCTTTCTCTTTTCAGAACGTGCATGAAATGAAACTGTTAACACCATATTGGCATTATAATGTGTCTAAGAGCACATAAATAAATGAAATGATAGGTTAGAAATTCAGCATGGCAGCAGGGTATTTTTCACCTTATTTGTAATGCAGTGATATAGTTGAGGCAGTTTCTGCCACTATCCAGCACACCATAGGAACTTCCTTTATTCAGCTTAGTAAGGATCTCCTAGATGTTTCATTTTGTTTAGAATTCAGTTTTCTTTGAACTGGCCTTTTGCTCCTTTCTGGCAGGATTTTGAGCTATGTTTCTTCCCCTCTGTCCCTTCAAGACTTAGATTCACCATTAAGAGGAAGAGGGGAGGCTGAACCTTTTTAGTCCCACAATTTCCCACATACACACTTCAGGCAATTTGACAGCATTGAAGATGCGGGCACTATGGAAACAGAACTGCCCCTTCAATTTGACATAAAAATAGAGGCCAACACTTTCCAGCAAAGACAGAGAATGCAAGCTTTACTAATGACACTTTGAGGCGTTTTGATTATGCTTTCAACAAACAAAATGAAACCTTTCGCTATCTCTTGTACTTTGAGCGCATGCCTTTTTATATGAAAAACAAACAAACAAAACCCTTCCGTGTTATTTCGTAAATGGATTTTGAGTATTTGCTAAAATGGATCTTTATGTAATACCTAGAAATATCAATTGTTTGGGTTTGTGGCTGATTTTTAATGAAGTCGGGATGGGGTGGGTGGGGCTTAATATGTTATTGTTTACATTTGGAGTTGACTTTTGTGGCAAATTGTTCTTGAAAGTGCAAAAGGGCACAATAAGCTGGACATGTGGGCAGGATTTCTGATGTGGGCTTCTGGCAAATCTCAGAGTGCTTTACGCCATAATAGGACTCCTTGTGGTCGTGTACTCTCTATATGCCATGAGAAAGGTTTGGCAATCAGAATCGCACATCTTAATGAAAGGAACCCAATGGAGAGACTGAGGAAACTTCCAAACTGGGGTCAAACGACAACATCTGCTTTTAAAAACACTGGAGTCATCTTCAAGGAATGCAGGAATGGGTTCTTCACAAGCCAGAATGTCCCTGACACCATTGTTGCTTTGATGGCATATGGAGGGGCTGAAAGATCTTCTATTTTTGGCATCACCTTCTTGCCTTCTAGTACAGGTATGGGAAGTGTGATGGTTGTTAATTTTTTGGCAGTCTTTCCGTTTCTTGTTATCTTTTATTTTTTTGAAACTTTACAAGTCTTTACTCTTTGATGTGAGATTAACTACCGTGCACTTCTACTACCAAGGGAACTTATAAATGGCACTTTCTTCATTTGCATGACATTTAACTTTATAGACAGCTACGTGTACTTCAAAGCAAACAAACATGCTTGTTTGGGGACAGTAACAACAACAACAATAGCAACAACAACAGTGGGGGAAACTCTCTGTGTAAATTTTGAATGGTGTAATTTTGCCTTTTCCGTGGTTTGAAGTGCTTAGCTTTCCATCTTGTAAGGCAGGGCGGACATCTGTCAGTATAAAGCCAAGTTTTGCAAAGTGCAAGAATAACTTCCCTTTGGAGATGAGGGGGGAAAGTGACTAAGGGGAAAGGAGGGCCGTTTGACAGGATCTGATTTGCCTAAACAGGAGTTTGCTTTTTACTCAGAAGGGGCTGTCAGTGTACCATTTTCCAATTTCTAACAGAAAAAGTATAACATGATTGAATCATTGGAATTTTTTTGATGCTCAACTGAATACAAAAAAAATATACTGAGGTGAGAAGGGCTTTCATATCAGGGGGGCTTGCCATAAAAATATAGACCTGAGGACCTGTTTGCATTTCCCCACTCAAATTACTTGGATTTCAGTCAATTTGTTTCATTTTTGTTTCATTATCCTCACCTACTAGTAGCATTTAAAACATACATGGCAGCTCATCTTTACATATCTATAACTACAGGCCTAATTTTTCAGCTGCCAGTGTTCACATGTCTTGATCTTACACTGGACTTCAACGAAGTTCTCTCCTGTTGAGTTGAGCAGCACTGAAATTTCCTGACCACTGAACTACTTTTGACCCATTTCTCTGTGAAAACCTCTGCTCAGGTGATGAATCTGATAAACCTTGATAGCCTGGCCTGTCTGGGCTGTACCCATTGCACCGGGCTTTTGCTTCCAGTGTATTATGATGAGTACTTCAGGAATGAGGAGGCCCTTCCTTCCTGTTTCCCAAGCACACATTCTGTCAAGCATTAGCTGCCTTGACTGTGTTTCTTTGGGCAACATAAATACTATTTCCTGCATTGAATTTATATTTCGTAATTTCTGGCATCCTTTCCAAACATAAACCTCAACATTTCAAAGAGAAGGGGGAGTCTGTCCTAGCAGAGCCTGACTTCTCTCAAGTCTTCCAATAAAGAGGGGAACCTGACAGGTGACAAGGCATCTAATCCATCCCATTACAATTTTGCCCAAAACATCTGATTAAGCACCTGCACTTTAAGGAGGGGCCTCCTACCATGAAGTTCTTTTCAAGGCCCTCTCATGTATTCTTTGCCCTGATTGCCACTGGCATTTCTGAAACCCTGTTTTGATCGTGAAAGCAATTGTACCCAGATTTTGATCCATTGCCTGTACCTCCCCAAACCCCACCTTTACTCTTCTGTTTCAGTGGCATAATACCTAGAGACAAACCAGTTCACCTTTCCTGGCTTCCGCAATAAAGGCCTATGGATCCTAATCACTTCTGGAGCACATAGCCTGGGTACCTCTTCCATAGGCTACAGATGCCAGTAAGGCAGTACATGTTCCACAGAAATGCATGTAGGAAACCCACAAGCAGCATCAAGGGGCTGGGATTTTGAAGGCATGGTAAAGGGAAAGGAATGCTTTCTGCCCCAAAGCCACCCCACCTCCCCATCCTCCCCACAATAGGGTTGAAGTGCTTTAGGAGGGTAAACGCTCCTGGAATTCCCACAAAGGTGAAACAGTTTTGTGTGTAGTGTTGGTGGGTGGAACCCAACAAAACCCCTGGCAGGGCATGGGTTAAGCATTCCATTCCTCCTCTTAGTACAACACTCAAAACTGTAGACTCTTGAAGCTACTTTTCATTATAAACAGCAGGGCTTCACTGCGTGCATTTGTGTGTAATGTAACACAGAATCAGAGAACATAGAGTTGGAAGGGACCTCGAGGGTCACCTATTCCAACCCCCTGCAAGACAATGTGTAGTTTGCCCCTCGGTTTTAGACAGGGAGGCAGATTTCAGATGGTGAAAGGTACAAATGTAATTGGAATTTCCTCTCTAGTATGCGGTAGGCTGTTAGCAGCATCTGTTTGAGCACAAAATAACAAGATCATGGCTCCATATGAGCTTTATGGAGTCCAACAAGAAGGGATGCTGTTGGAAAATGCTTTGACTATTCATCACCATCACTATCATTATCAGCCAAGTCAAATGTTCAGTGACAGCTTAGTGATATGATCCAAAAGAAAACACCAGTTAAAAATCCTAAAATTGTGCCTGGACAGGCCTATTTTGTCATGGTTTGTCCTGGGGAGGAAGTGCTGCAAATGGCTCACACTTTTATCTTACAATCTGTCCCAATAATGTGTCACTGGGTTTTGCTGGTACCCGTGCTAACCTTTCCCACCACAATGCCCTTTGCTAATGTTGCTTCAAACATCTTGCTCTTTCCCTTATCCAGAGCATTGCCCTGGACCTCCTCTTGCAATAGCGTAGCCCTGCCTTTTTAACCACAACTACAAGCTTTCGTGCATTTCAACCCATTCCCCGTAGAAACCTCACAAACACCTCCTGATACCCTTTGTGGAAGTGGAATAGTGGGGCTTTTCCACAGCACAACCTCAGCTTCTACACAACCCCACAAAAATATTTCAATTCCTCACCCCCTTTTGCATCCCACATCAAAGTTCTTGGTGCATGAAGGGCTGCACATCTATATTTGTGCTTATTTTATAAAATAAACATACCCCTTGTCTACGGTCTTGAACAGAAAGAAACCATGGGTGTATAGGAAAGCAGTGAAGAGCAATAAAAGGCACAATAACCAGGAAGGAGAGGGATAAGGAGGGACAAACTAATCTAAAATAAAATCTAACTAGCAGCAACAAGAGGATACCTGGCTTGGGCATTACACCTCACAACAATCTAGAACCAGGATTAAGGTGTGCTGCATTTATTGGCATTTTCTACAGCTGCACAGGAGTAATCTCCATATTTCATTACTTTCAAGATGAATCGGGATATACCTGTATCAGGGACAGTTTATGCCTATTGAATTGGACAAGGTGGGGGAAAACTGGGCTACCTCATCTAGCATTCTACCACTGATGTGAAAACAACCGCAAAGTTAGCCTGCTCCTTGTTGAAGTCTAGTCATCTTACCTACTTCACAACTGATCCCAGAAATTAATTTCCAGCTAGAGAAGAAGTTAGCAGTAGGGAAGGACGGCGGCTTAGTAGCAGAGCATCTGCTTTGCCTGCAGGAGTTCTCAGGTTTGATCCCCAGCATTTCCAGGTAGGGCTTGGAATGGTTCCTGCATGGAACCCTGGAGAGCAGCTGGCAGTCAGTATAAGTGAAGTTAGATGGAGCAAGGACCTGACTCAGTAAGAGGCAGCTTCCTAGGCTCCTATGTGTGACAGAATGATTCCTAGGAAACCCTTTCCACTGTACATTACAGCTGCCACTGCTGGTGGAAAGAAAAAATAAATATATTCAAATATACTCCAGATAGATGGAACCTGGAGCAAAGCTTTATATGCTCAGATTTTGCTTCCTACCTAACTGAGAATACCAGTTGTCATTTCTCCTTCGGTTATGCCACATGTTCTCCTTTTTGTTAGGATGGCTTCCCTTCCTCCTCCTTAGTTCTTGCATGGCTGCAAATCAGCCACTTTTTGTCCTGCTCCCTGCCCCTTTTAGGTAATGGAAAATTCGCGAGAAGGCAAAGTTTGGTATTTTTGTTTTTTTTCTAACTGTTGCACAATTTTTTGGCTTTTGTAACATTTGGGGGGAGAAGCTGGAAAAGTGGTTTGAGAAGAAAGTATAGATGTATATAAAAAGATATATATAAAGATATAAATATATATGCATATAAATATATGAAATCTCTATGGAAATATTTATTTCACATGAATGCAAAAAAAAAAAAAATCACAAAAAAGAAGGGAAGAAAAAAAAAGCAGCTTTGTAATGTAAACAAACAAAACAGTCAGAGAGCGTCCCTCTCATGTTTGTTAACTTGATGTGGCTGGAATATTCCAAAATCCTTCAGTATCTTTTGTAAGTGAATCAGACCTGTAAAGCGGTGTGACTGTGTTGGATTCATTGTTCCAGTTTTTTGAAGCTGTGGCTGTGAACAAAATGATCACTGCTAAAAATTTATGCTATATTTTTGGGGTGGGGGAGATGGGGATTGTCAGTTTTATTCTTGGTGTTTCAAGTGCAATAAAATAGCTACAAACTCTTGAGTATGGAAAATGCTGATTGTCACTAAATGACTCCCAGACTCTGTTTTACTTTCTATTTCATTGTGATGCTTCTGTCTTTAAGGGGTATCATATCTAGAATACAACACTCAGGGACAGAGCAGAAAGGAGGACTGAAAGTTCTCTTCCTCTTTGGTGATTTAGGGCCTGTCTTCTACTCCTCAGGTGCTTTTTCCTGCTTGGGATGTTTCCTTCAATTGTGATTATGCTTCTTGATATACTTGGATGGAAAGAGGGGTGGTGGTTTAGAAACCACTGGAGGTTTATTGTAAGGAGGTCCCTTGGAGGCTTATTCCTCTAAAACATACACAAGTTGGGTGTCCGCTAAAATTCTGACCCTTGTTTTCTTTTCACACAGAGATCTAGCTTGCCCTCTCTCGCTTCTGAGGAGGGAATAATAAAAATAACAGCAATACTACAACACCTCTGCTGCTGTTGCTACGACTACTGTCTTATATCCTCCCCTTTCTCACACAGAGCACAGGGTGGCTAACAAAATCTAAAAGCCACAACATTAAAACAAAAATCTAAAATGCAGTATTCATCAGCACTATTTGATCGGGGCTGAGCTGCTGGCCGTGTCTTTCTTCATTCCACACTGAAAGCCCTACTCACAGGAATCTGATAGGGACCCTTTAAGAAAAGGGAGCAATGGAGGCTGGTCCAGTAGTGTGAATGGGGCCCTACCTGACTTCTTACTTACATTCATTCCAAGGGGTGACATTTCCCTCATCAGCCTCTTCCTTAGCCTCAGTGTTGTCCCTTGCAGATCTGAGAAAGGAGGATGGAGACAAAATTAGAATGGCCTATCCTTGGCTCTGCCTCCTGTGGGTCTCCCTGCCTTCTGTGCTACCAGTCTCAATGGGCACTAGCCACCACAGCCTGTAAGCAGCAACCTGTGGAGAGGCACAGGTTTCCCATCCCCGTGCCAGAATAATCAATACCATAGCTTTTAGAAATGCTACAAACTGAGCAAGTCCCTAGCGGGTAACTGTGTAGGAAGTATAGAAGGGTTGCCACACCCTCTGCTGGTAATTGCAGGCATGCCTGCATTCTTCTTAGTGTTTCCTTTTGTATTCTCTTGGGCCCATCCAGACATCTTGTTTACTGTGCATTTGTGATTATTTGTGCCAATAGTGTTGGTGCAGTAATACTCAAAACCTTTTTCTATCCTCTTTGCCCCTGCAGCCGTTTCACGACAAACATGTTGCTTTGTTTCCTGTTACTGTGTGTCCTGTAGTTTCCTAGAAAAATAATGTAACGTTCATACCACAAATGTCTGAGAGCTTTTTGTATTCGTTGTGCCACAATGCAAGAGTGTCTCTCCCAAGGGCAATAATGCAGTGTTGTTCACATTGCAGAACAACTAGCAAAGTGAAATGATGTGAGGATGGTTCAATAAAAAATCACCGCTAATGTTGTGTCAGTGACAGGTTGCAGGGTGCACCTGCCAAAAAACACCAGCCTGGAAGGGCCCTTGAGATGTATACACAATGTTCATTATGATAGTAAATGATCAGTTGTTTATATAACAGGTCCCCCCCTCTCCTAGTAGTGATAAACAAAAATAGTTTTAAAATACAGTTGGATCCCGAACACCTTGGTACTCAGACGTTTTGGCTGCTGGACACTGCAAACCTGGAAGTGAGTGTTCTTGTTTTTGAGCGTTCTTTGGAACCCGAACGTCTGACGGGGCTTCTGCAGCTTCTGGTTAGCTGCAGGAGCTTCTGGCAGCCAATCAGGAGCTACGTTTTGGTTTCTGAACGTTTTGGAAGTTGAATGGACTACCAGAACAGATTCCGTTCGACCTCCAAGGTACGACTATATGTCATTTTGAACTACTTTTCATAAAGTAGTTGTAATTACCATTCAGTTGCATGAAATGTAGTTTAACCACCACTCATGATGACTGCTGAATCTGTCCCCCCACCCCCCAACCTGTTGGGCAGAGTTGACATCATCCATCAGATATGTGAACATAGCAGTGCATGTACAGCCCACTATTTCAAGCATGACTCTCTGGATAAGGACAGAGTTAAGCCTTCAGAAACATGTACTACCTAAATGTCCAAGAGGCATTTTGTAAGGTGAACAGGAAGGTCTTAGAAGCAGTCAGGTGGAAATATATTTAACAGAAAACCTTCATTAATTGGATGATGTTACTGCATTACAGTGGTACCTCAGGTTACGTACGCTTCAGGTTACAGACTCCGCTAACCCAGAAATAGTGCTTCAGGTTAAGAACTTTGCTTCAGGATGAGAACAGAAATCGTGCTCTGGCGGCGCAGCGGCAGCGGCAGGCCCCATTACCTAAAGTGGTGCTTCAGGTTAAGAACAGTTTCAGGTTAAGTACGGACCTCCGGAACGAATTAAGTACTTAAACCTAGGTACCACTGTAATTGAATGATGTTACTGTCAAGGAACAAGATGAAGTAACATGGATGAAATAATTTCATGAGTGATTTTTGTTTTTAGAGGGGTTTTAGATAAGGATACCCATATCTTTATAGTTCCCATATCCTCTTCCCATATCTACTGCAGTTCACTATGCTTATAGAACTCCTTGTTAAAATATTATGCAACTATAGAATATATAGAAATCAGGATTAAAATTAGCCTCTATATTATTTATTTACATCAATAAATTCTAACATCACTAGGAGGTGCTAAATGACAATGATGTTTTTACTCGGATATCTGGTTACAAATTAAATCTAGATGAAATTGAATGAATATTGTGTATATCAAGGATCTCTGGGTCATACAAGAATGAGGAAAAGCAACCCAACTGCATCTAAGAATATATGTGCCTGAAAAACTAAAATAAAATAGGAGAGTTACTTAATTTCTAAGTAGCTCTCCGACCAAAACCAAGATGGCTGAGAAGAAGAAACAGCAGCCTTGCAAAGGAAAGAGAGTGAAGAAGAGACTTTTCAACCTGTCCTTGCTCACCTTCACTTTTAAAGGATTTAAGTTTGACCTGTAGCAGGTTAAGCATGCAACACTATCTCTGCCCACAAGATGTCAGCAGCTCACTGTGAGGAAGTTTGTGCAGTTGTAGTAATGGAACTCTGGGTGGAACATGACACACAGCGCAGGTTTCTTGGGATTATTTCATTTTGTATGGTGGAGTTCCCCCTCCTAAAATTCCTGTCTGTGGAAAGCTAGCATCAAAGGAGAAAGGCCATAATCATGTAGGGAGATGGGGGTGGGTTTTTTTTTAATGAGATGGGCAATTACGCTCAAGGATTCAAAGAGTGTAAATAAAATTTAATACATTAACTGTTCCTACACCATGTGTGTATATGGGAGAGTTTTAAACTGTGTATATGAGCCCTAATATTGTGTTGGGTGAGGGACTGGGCCTTGGGAGAGAGCGTATTTGCCTGACTGGAAAGAGTCTTCAGCACATACGGTAATAGAACACACTGAATAGAAAGGGATCTTTTGGCTCCCAGCTTCCCCAGCCCTGCAGCGTTAACTGTATGTATACAGCCTGTTGCTCCATTGCAAATAAATACATTTGGGAATGGATTGCTAATTAATGGGACCACTGGTCTATGGTCACCCTTTTTGCTGAGGGGAATTCTTCATGCCTTTGGGCATGGAAGTTTCATTTTTTTAAAGCCTCATCCCAGAGATTTAAGGGCTTGGTGAGCTCTCTTGGAAGCCTCACAATGAGGCTGATCCCTCAGGAAGTTAAGGCCTGCTGTTCCAGACCTTGGGAGCAGCTGAACCCAAAAGCCAAAGCTTTTTTTTTAATAGAACATCTAAAAAAGTGAAGGAATTCTCCTCACGTGCATTTTTGTGTTCACCAAGTTTCTTTATTCAGTATGAAGACATGGGCTCCTCTGGCCATTGCTGTGTCCCTTCTCAGGAAACTCCAACTCTCCCCTTCCGGTGCTCTTTTTGCTCTGACCCCCAAACTTCAGATTCCCCAGACAGGGAACATGACAAGAAAGTTCATTGAAAGCCTCTCTAAAGGCCCAGCTGGGAGCTGATGGACATGACAGGGCTGCCTTGGGGAGGGGGGGAATGCAAGCTTGAATGTTAAATGTGAGGAAAACTTGAGGAGGTATTTACACACCCACTTCAATAATTTTCTTTTCTTAGAATTGGAAGCAGACAGAAAAGTCTGGGAAAATTCCCCATACTCAGGCTTTTGTATTGTTCATAGTGCTAAGAGGGAATGAGAGAAGGGAGAGAATCTCACTCTGCCTTGCTAAATACATAATAAATGAGAGAGTACTTTTGAGGTCACTGTGAAGAGAGTTAACTTGCTTTCATCTACTTTGGGAATCCTGTGCATTCCTTGAATCCCTTGCCAAGCACCCCCTTTCCCTAGTCTACATGATTGTAGAGAGATCCTTATGTATGTAAGTAATTTCCCGCTGGCCTGCAAAGTCTTGCCCTATCTTAATAAACAGGGAGCCCTAAAGGCCAAGAGGAAGATTTTACTGGAGAGCCAATCAGAGCACAAGCAAGCACTCTTCCTCTGTGTGAGAGACAGGAAGGCCTAAATGGCAGCCTGCAGCTGAGCAGCCTGAGTCTCAGGTGAGGTGCGTGCAAACAAAACAGAATACCGGTACTGGCTAAAAATGAGGGCAAATCACTCCCCCCCCCTTCACAAGAAGTTGAATTACAGAAGGATTTGACAAAATCTGACCAGCGTTGCTGTACAAAAGAGGCAGCCAATCAAAATGGACTCAGTTATTTTCAAGGCATGAGGCTTGATGTGAGGATTTTTAAAATAAAAAAATCCGAGAATTGAAAATGGTGGCCTGGGGATGTGCATATTGCCCATAAACTGTGGTGATACAGCGGAAGCAAGAAGTTCTCAAAGAACGAAACTGCTTCATACTGGAGTAACAGTCAGAGAAGATCACTCTGAAATGTAAGTGCCAAATTTATTTTAGTCACATTTATTGTTAAAATACATTTATTATAGTCTTTGTTTTGTTTATGTGATATGTATTTTTATGAAGATTTTAAAGTGCCATCTTATATAGTTAAAAATGCTGTTTGGAATTTGTTCCCCACCAGTGAAAATTCCTTTAATAAGGCATTGCCCAAAGCCACCAACTGATTTCTTTCTTTGCCACTTACATTTCATTTTGCTGCAATCAAGACTTGTTATGCGTTTAAACTGCTTTTAGTTTTCAGTCTTCTTCCCTTCCACCTTCCCACAAATCCACTCTTTGCTCACTTTGGTATTGTGACCCCAGTGTACATCATATGCAGGTTTTTCCCCCACATAGCCTATTATTGTTACTACAAATCCTAATAGCGCCTTCATTCCAGCTCTCTGGAGACAAAACCCATTAACACCTTGCAGTGGCCAGTCAGCAACTTATAAATACTTATACAAAGGATATTATGTGAGCTTTACAATTTATGATGCCCCACTAAGTCTCTAAGGCTGCAGTCTAGATGAGCCTTTGGCATGATCCAGTAGGTCAGGTGTGGGGGGAAGATTTGGCCCTCCAGATGCTGTTGAACCACAACTCCCAGCCCCCAAAAGCATGGCCAGTGGGTGGCGATATTGGGAGTTACATTTCAGCGACATCTGTAGAGTCAAAGATTCCCCACACCTACAGTAGGGCATTACTTAAGACCTCCAGTTTGAAAATGTGCTTAAGAGCTCAAAAAGGTTGGCATCCCTGAATAGTGGAACTTGTATAAAAAGGTAAAGGTAAAGGACCCCTGACAGTTAAGTCCAGTCGCGAACAACTCTGGGGTTGCAGCGCTCGTTTTACTGGCCGAGGGAGCCGACGTTTGTCCACAGACAGTTTTTTCTGGGTCATGTGGCCAGCATGACTAAGCTGCTTCTGGCGAAACCAGAGCAGCGCATGGAAACGCCATTTACCTTCCCGCCAGAACAGTACCTATTTATCTACTTGCACTTTGACATGCTTTCAAACTGCTAGGTTGGCAGGAGCTGGGACTAAGTAATGGGAGCTCACCCCGTTGCTGGGATTCAACCACCGACCTTCTGATCAGCAAGCCGTAGGCTCAGTGGTTTAGACCACAGCGCCACCTGCATCCCGTGGAACATGTATAGGAAAGTATATTGCACATCAGATTTCTTGGGTACTCACTGTAGTCTTAGTAATCTTCATGAGCTGTTAGAGGGTTCTAGTGTCAATCGTAGCAGAATGCCTACATGCAACTGAAAACTAGAATGAAAATTTGAATTTCTGAGGCTGGCTTCCCATTGAGATATTCTACTGAGGAATATAGATAAGGAGAGTTTCAATTTGACTATACAAGCAAAGCTATTTTGCTGATTTTTAAACAACCCCACCAGGTCTTCAGCTCCTTCAAAATGAAGTAGCTATTCCCTATAAACTATATATTATAAATGAACACAGTCATTATAATCTAGCAAAATACTGTAATTCAAACAAACATGTACATCATTCTGCTGTAAACACTACAGTAAAATCCATCCTAACCAAAACAGTGCTGAGGCCCATTGCTGAGGCTGACAGAAATAATAAATTGCTTCTTTTTAATTTACAGCAATAGTTCCCAGAAGAGTTTTCTTTGTTTGGTTGCTAGCTAGTCAGTCCCTTGAAAACATTATCAAGAAACCTGCGTTGATTCCCTACATTCTAATAGTGACCTTACATTTCTTTTTGCCTTATTAATGAATGGCACTGGTAAATGCAAGATTCGGTGGGATGGATGAATCAACTGAGCAGCATAGAATCCAATAAATTAGTAATACTAAAACATTAATTTAAAACCTCCAGCATTAAGAGACCTCATTAAAGAAAAAAAGTAGTCTGAAATAAATGGTTTTTTTACATGCAGTTGTGGAGAAAGTTCTATAACTTGGGGGCCACAACAGAAAAGGCCCTGCATCTTCGACCTGTCTTCTGTACTTAATCTGTGTTTCCCACAAGCCTGCTGGGCTCCATGCAGGGTGAGGAGGATTGGACTGGTTATGACATTTGTACCACATATTGCTTAATCTGAGTTATATTTACATATAGATATATTTGTGCAACATTCCTGTTTTCTGCTTGTGACATACAGCAAGCTTGGTTGAATAGGTTAAGTTCTGGTACTATGAACCTTCTGTGTTGATAGTCCTGGCACTAGGCTGGAGCTGGAGTCATAGAAGACCTTTGGTCACACATGTTTTAGTTATTCATAGACAAAGGTGGCCATACTTTCTGCTGCAGGGTGGTCAATGTGACCTCTTTTATCAGGCTTACCCTACCTGGGTGTGCTGGACTGACTGTACAATCTGCACAGACCTGAGCATGAAGGAAGTCACATTAACTTACATATGTACATTGGACGTGATGCTCTGTTCTCTCTTCTTGCCTTTTTGACAAATGACTTTCCCCATGTAAATTATGACTCTTTGTGTTTGTACTAGACCTCTGTGTAGCCCCCCCCCCCATTGTAGAGGGTTGCTCTACTGCTCTACTGTGTGTATCTGTTGATGACGTGGGGTTCCCCACCCCCCCATGGAACAATTACCATAGTCACCGTCAGGTAACAGCAACCATAAACAGAGCATGGGAGTGTGTACTGTTGCTTCTCCACCCTCTCTCTGCAGCATAGCAGTGACAAAAGATGTTTGGATGAATTTATTTGACATAGGCGCCAAGCTCTGTAAATGGTTTATGAACATCATTTCTAGGAGCAAGAGGAAGTGTTAGATCAAGTCAGGACAGCTTGGATTTATTCCCATGAGAATTCAGCTTCTGAGGAAAACTCCCTTACTGTACTAAGGCAACAGATTTTTCACCTCAGTCTTAACTCACCTTCCCCTACCCCACTCTCATCCACATCCCCAAATTGCCGTTTGATGAGGAAGAACTCCCATCCCTCAGAATAGGGATTTTTTTCAAAACACCTGTCCGCAAGGCTTCTCACACTGCTTTGTGATTTGGTTCTGCATGTGAACTTCAGGAACCAGCTCTTGGGAGATGGGGACGGGGACACACACACTAGGGTCTGGTTCATACATCTGACATTCTGTTTACTCTGGCTCCAGTGCATTCCCACCACTGGTATTTGAAGGGCATTAGCTACAGTCCATAGCTATCCTGAATTTTCCTCAAAAATACTGCTATTTGATGCATTTCCCCTTAAACCAGCTTCCATCTGATTTGAAACATAAGCCACAGTCACTTCACCATTAAGCTGAAGGGCGTACATTTGAGTCAACCATTGTACATGTGCAGATGACTGCTTCGTGCATCGGAGTTCTGGGAGTTGCAGTGGCAAGGGACGCAAATAGGAAATGAAGACATCCCACCCCTCTCTGGTGTGTACAGCAACATGCAAGTGTGTGACTTCAAGGGCAGTGGGGGATGACAACCTTGCTGCGTTTTAAGCCAACAATGTGTACATAGCCTTAGCCATGTGCCTTTGCTTGGGACCAGTGGAATCTACAGGAAAATATAATTGAGGTTGGGGTGTGGGGAGCAACATGTAATCTGGAAGAGGTGGAGTTTTGTCCCACAAGTTAGATTTCTAAAAGATCAGTAATGGTACACACTGCCATTCTGAACACGTTTTCTTTGAAATAAGTCCTATTTATTTGATGGAGTTAACCATGAAGTAAGCATGCCTACCATTACAGCCTGTTTATGATCCTGTTATCATTTGCATGTGAAAAGTGCCTTTGCATTAAGGAACCACAGGAGTCCAGCAACGGAGGCTGGTGGTCCCTGCCCTCCAGCCTCCTGGCCCAGCCTATATATAAGAGCAGCCTCACACAACACTTGTTTGTGTTGCGTAAGAAGGAAACAGCACGTGGGACTCTTCACATCTTAGGTCACAATGGTGACCTGAAATGAATTAATGATGTGAGAACAATTTGCCCATTGTTAGTAAAATGTAGGACTTCCCTTTCTTGCATTGAGGTTGGGGATGTTCATGAAAAGAAAACTTTGATATGGTGGCATGGCGTGGCATAGCATTTTCCAGGATACATCTGTAATCCTCACTGCACTGTCACATTATGTGCATGATGCACAAGGATGGATTGGTTCATGTGGTGAAAGACAAGGGAGACCCAAACTAAACACATGGGGATGGTCAGACATTTCTATGCCCGTGGCTTCATTTCCCCCTCATTGAAAACTGAAAAGGCAGCTTGCTCCTTCCAGCCTGGTTTACGCAAACCTGTCTCCATGCCATCATTTTTCCTGTGCACAACAGAACTGAGGAATGCAACAGTTTGAGCAGCTCCTTGGTCCACACCGCTTTGCAGGCTTCCCTTATCCATCTGGCTACCCACTGTGCAAACAGGATGCTGAACTAGATGGGCCTTTGGCCTGATCCAACAGAGCTCCTCTTACGTTCTTACATTCCTACTGCACTATGGCCTCACTGGACTGTGTTGTAAAAGGGCAGGATTCAGCAGTTTGCCTGTGATCTTTTTCAGAGCCAACCAGTAACTTACCTGTTAATTAGTTATCCTTGCACAAACCAATAGTTTTCCTATTTCCTGTTCCATCTGAATTCAGTATGTTCCTGGGTTCCCCAACTCTCACCCAATCAAAGGCAATCTGGGCAATTAAACCAGCCTCTCCTTGGGTAAACGGTGTCAAGGTTAGAGCAAGTCATTCATTGTCGTAATAAATCTTTATTGCAACCCCTTCTTCCCATCCCCCATCATAAACTAAACTTTCCATAAACGCTAGGTTTATAGTAGGTCTTCTTCTAATGATTAACTTGCAGCTTAGCAGCTTGCAAAGCTCTGCAGAAGGCACTGGTAGTGCAAGAACTCTGAAGGGCATCTGCAGTCTCTTCTTCTTAGCATGAAGTTGACTTTTAAGCTGCAGAAACAATTGCCTGATTCCAGCATTAAGAGTGTTGGAACTGAGAAAGCAAAGAAACCTGCTCAATTCCTTTCTAGTTAAATAAGGTTATAACAATGTAGTTTCCCCACCTGAAGTTCTGAAATGGAATGGAAAGTATTGTTATGCGGACGGTGTGGTCTTATTGTCAAAAGAGGTTTAACCCCATCTTCTGAGTGGATTGACTCCTTTTCCTAAAAAGGCACATCCACGGATAGTCAGCCCAGCAACCTGTTCTCATAGTGGTCAGCCAGGTGCCCATGAGAAGTGCTGATCTTCCCACTTGTGCCCCTCAGCAACTGGTATTCAGAGACATGCCGCCTCTAATACTGGAGGTAGGTCATAGCCATCATGGCTAGTGGTCACTGGTAGTCTTATCCATGTATTGGTCTAATCACCTTTTAGAGCTGTCCAGGTTGAATGAATGAATGAATGAATGGGAGAGGAGGCATCATGCAGGTATGCTGGGAGGTCCTTCCAAACATCACGGGCAACAAGAGAGAGGGAAATCAGTTCAGGAAGGAAGGATGGTGGTGGAACTGGAAGAGTGATGATTCCAGGCTGAAATGCTTTCCATTGAGAACATTAAAGAAAGTTGTATAAAGGCAGCAATTGGTTTAGATCATGAGATGCCAAAACAAAATTAGGCCTATGGGTACCTCTGCAAACTGTGGTCATTACACACACCTCACAACCTAGCACACTGTGCAGCCTATTCGGTTGTAGTGTTGCATTGAGTCAAACTTCAGCATAGGGATAAGAAAGGACAGGCCTCTTTGGGCACATGGGTGCCATATTGGTGACCCGTGATTTAGACTGCCTGTTTGATTCATGCTGCTCTGTAAAGTTTAGTGCAGAGCAAACAGTAATTTTCATTTCATTACATTTAAAAATCACAATATATAATATTAAAAATAAAAATAATTCAATAGCCCTCCCAAAAGAGCCACCTTTTAAAGGGTATAGGAGAGATAATTTCAGACCTTTTCTTAAATTAAAGCTTGTTCTGTGGTTTAAGAGGCTAGTTTCCTATGCCAAGATACACTAGAATGAGAACTAATCTGAAAATAAAATGTCATTAAGTCCTGGGAATTCTTACATGGGACTCCCTGCCCCACCCCGGGTTTCTATTTTTAGCCTGCTACACTGTAAATTGATCCAGTCAGTTATGATATGGACTTGAAACCAGTTTTGGATGATACACTGATATATCGCCCAGCCCTAGTTAAGAGCAGAGTACAGTAATACATACTGTGGATGTTGCCTCATCCACTATGGCTTCCACCAAGAGGTAAAATTTGAACTGTCTGGAAACTTCACCTTAGAATGAGCAAGCAAGAAGAAGTTCAGTGTCCCACTATCTGCTTGCTTAGCAAGCGCTGATGTGAAGTGACTAGCATTTGAATTGATGGACAGACCTTGCAGGGCATAGTTTTTATTTATTATATTTACACAAACCTTTCCCCTCAAGGCCCTTAAGTTTCTCTCCCCCTACCCTGCTCTTCCACTGCCTTGAAAACACACAGCAAACCAAGACTCTGTGAGTTTCATGGGTGAAGGAGGATTTGAACCTGGATCTTCTGCCCAGTTCTGCTCCAAACTAGAGCTGCAGGGTCTTTTTCAATCTGAGGGACCACATTCCCTCATGCAGAGCATTCTTGCCAATGGGGCCAGAATGACCAGGAGCAATGAGTGATGTCACTGGAGTATTTTTTACATACGGTTTATCTCCTTCTGATATGAGCAGCACACCTGAGGGGGAATAGCTACAGGGTGCTGCGACAGCTTTCCCCCCATTTGCAACTGTAAGCTATCTAGAAAACATTGTTATTGGCTGGCATATTGTAAATGAAATAAATAGTGCCATGTGATATGTGCTGAGAAAGCAGGGGCTCCAAAGGAAGTCCCTTTACTTGGCTTTAGTGTTATTTACATCCAAGATTGGTCTTCTAAATCTTAATCTGGTATTTAATGTTTTCCTCTCTCTCTCATTCTTTTTTTTTTGCTGGGAAGCAAGGAAAAGCAACAGGGTGTGGGAATCTGCCGACATTATGAACTTGCAGCTGCAGTCCATTATGCACTGCCAGTGTTGCTCTCCTGTAGAGCTGATGACAAATGGAATTGCTGCCCCAGGGGAAGCCTTGACATTTTGAAAAGCATTTCCGTTGTGGAGCTGGAAAGTAACTGTGTGTGTGTGTGTGTGTGTGTGTGTGTGTGTGTGTAATCTTTTTGTAAACACTTTGAGGTATTATACAATCAAGTGGAATATAAATGTGAAATTAATAAGAATAGCACACATTCTCTTTTTTACACACACACACACACACACAGAGAGAGAGAGAGAGAGAGAGAGAGAGAGAGAGAGATTGTTGATGCCAAGGAGAAAACATTGAATATATATGGAAAACTTCCTTTTTTATTGCTGTCATTCAAAATGTTTGCACCTTGGCATTAAAAACATGACCCAGAAATGAAGCGTGGTTTGGTGCAGTTTGATATAGAATGTTGTTTATGTACATGTGGCAAAATGGACACTCTCCTGAAGTTTGTAAATCAGCATGTAAGTAGAGAAATAAAAAGGAAAATTCCTGTCCATTATTCAGTCTCTCCTTTAAAACGAGAAGTGCTGGGCTTAACTCAATCCAAGATCTTAATTTTAACATGCAGCTCCATTTTATTTTATGACACCACACATTAGAGAATCCAACATCTTTTCCACAAAGGAGGTATGTAAACAGGATGTTGCTCTTCTGAACTGTCACCTTACCCTTTATCCCCATCCCTGAAGTCCATTTAAATAATTCACATGGCAGGCTGATTCCTTTCCTTAGATTTCGCTGTGGTGACTTGTCTATGATTTCAACTTCCTGAGGCAAAGAGAGAATCGAAGGACACACGTTTTGCATCCCTGTGAACGGAGGGGGGGGGCATCTGAATGAATTTGGGCTGTGAATCTCCATCCCCGATGATTTACACATAAATCTCTGGTAACCCCCTCAGAACGCTTGCCTCAAGGTGGGAGGAGAACGAAAGAGGGAAGGAATATTCTGCAATGTATGTATGCATGTATGAGGGCCTGGTACCATCAACATTCAAATTGTCATGCACCTCAAAACTAGCATTTCAAAGCTTCCTAGTCTCTGATGCCTCCCTTTCAGATAAATGAGGAGGAGAGAAATTGGCTACAGTTCAATGACCTGATGAGAAAATTTGTGTTACACCCCACCCCCCTTCTAGGTTCTTTTTTATTTTTAAGGCACTCTCTAACTTTGCTCTGTAGTCACAAATCTTGAGGGATCCTATTTTAAATGCTGAATTCTACATTGTTTGGACACTAATAATAGAATCTCTCTTTCTCATAAATATCTCAGTGGTTAATTCCTGAATTTGTAACCTATTAGCTCAAGTATCATTGAGGAAAAAACAGCAGCTGTGCTTTCAATTTCAGCCATTACTATTCCTGGCATTCTTGGGATAATTGGAAATAATTGATTGCAACCCTGCTATCTGTGTTCAGGTGACTCTAAGGCAGGGAGTGGAGAACCATGTGGCGCTTCCAGTTGTTGGGCTATAAATCCCATCCTCAGGGATGATGGGAGTCGTACTTCAACAACACTGGGCATAAGAACTGTTTCACATATGCATCTTCATCATCACTTGATGACTATAATATTCAGAGACAACCCGTGAGCCATCACAGAAATATCCATAGATACAGTTTTTATTTCACTTCTTGTCACCTCAGACATCATGATTTCCAAGTGGCATTCATCCAGCCAGCTGATAGTTAGAAATCCTGTGGTATGGGATAGCTCAGTTTGTAGAGCTTAATCTCACTCTTAATCTCAGGGTGGTGGGTTTGAGCCCCACATTGGGTGAACGATTTCTGCATTGCAGGGGGTTGGACTAGAGGACCCTCCTGGTCACTTTCAACTTTACCATTCTAAGAGAGCAACCTGTGGGTGGTTGGGAATCAGACCTGAGAACTGGGAGAAAACGACAATGGGTGCAGTACTATGAGCTTGGCTGGACAGTGAGTCCACACTATGAGGTTCTCAAAGAGTGTGTCTAAAACTATGCTTAGAGGGGTGTCTCAGGTGGTTGTTTTTAAATGCTTAGTTAACCCATGCCACTTCCTTCCTGTTGTTGACACTTGATAAATATGAGTAGTGGACAGATGCTTTCTCAGTGACTTTAAATGGTCTGTTTTCATATTAGCTGATTTGTAGGGCATAACTGTGTAGACCACAGAGTGGTGCTGCACTTTTAGCCCCACTCCCTGATATTGCATCTTCTTCCTTTAAAACATGAGTTGTTTGTGGCTGTCTGCAAAGAAAGCCCTGTGTGTGAGCGCCTGCTCAAGAGTAAGTGCTTCATGAAACCGGGACATCTGGTTGCGCTAGAGTCCTTACACCATCGGGGTTTTCCTTTAGCTTGTCTATTTCACCAGAGACTGCAAAAGGCAGTGAACAAAATAGTCACGCCACACAGATATTCATGGTCATGGAAAGGGGAACTGGGTAAGGAAGCCTTCCCATGCATGCAGGGAAGGCTAGAATGATTGGGTGCCTTGTTCACAGGCGTGTATACTGTCAGTGTAGCAATGCTCTGTTGAATTGTCTTTGGCTGCAATTTTTGCATTTCATTTCCACTTGACCCCACTGCTCAGAATCCCCACTCACCCATCTTTATATATACGTGCAACTGAGGATTACATTTGACATGGACCTAATGAAGTAGACTCATGAGAACTTATGGCATAAGAAATGTGCTAGCAGCCTTTAAGATACAATTCTCTTTGTTGTTTTTGCAGCAAATTCTTTGTCAAAGCTGTGATCTGTAATTTTGGTTTTTACATTGTGTGTGTGTGGGTGTGGGTGTGGGTGTTTCATACTGCTTTGATTTCAATGAATTTTTGATTTGTATGTATTTTTATAAATAAAATAAACACAGATTAACACAGTTCTACAGAGGCTTAAAGCTCCTTGAAGGCTGCATACACACAATACGCTTAAAGCATATTCTTCCCCTCAAAGAATTCTGGGCTCTGTAGTTTACTCCCTACAGAGTTACAATCTCCAGCAACTCTTAACAAGCTAGAGAACCAGAATTCCTTGAGGGAAAGAATGTGCTTTGAATGTGCTTTAAAGCTTGTGTGCTTCTCATAGGTATCTACTTGGCTATTGTGGGAGACAGCATTTTGGGCAAGATGGGCCTTTGGCCTGATCCTTCAGGCCTCTTGGGGGGGGGCAGGGTTACTGGGTTGCTGTTGTTTTTATTTTGATTGTGTATTTTGTGGTTTTCTTCTGCGAACCGCCCTGAGACCTGCAGGTATAGGACAGTATATAAATTCAATAAACAAATAAAAACACAGACTTTAAAAGATACATGGCAATAATTTATATGCATATTACTATCACTCCTTAAGACTAGTGTTCCACAGACACATTCACTTGAGCAGACTGGTTCTTCCTTATTTTAATGTCAAACAGTACACACCCACGCTCACTCAAGAACACATATCAGTAGCTGGAATACATTGTAAATGCTGGCCACTGTAGCTGAGCATTAGAACTGCTCTTTAAAGGGGGAGTGGCCTGTGCTGTCCATAATTACATAAAAATAAGAAGATTCTGACACACAGACTCACATGTGCACTTAACACAGAGATGAGGTCAGGAACCTATTGAATTTTAGAAATGCCTGATCAGAGTTATTTGTCCATTCATCTGTTTGCTTTGTAAGGAAACAGGGACTTCTCAACACCCAAAAGAGGCTTTGTAGATTGTATATAAAAGTTTTCTGAAGCCTGGATTCTCCAGGGGTTTTCATTGGGATTTGGAACACCCATACATAGATGCACACATTTGCTGGCCAACTCAGGAAGAAAAGCCTGTGTGGACAATCAGTCCCAGAAAATCATCTGGAGCCAGACTACAGACAGCACATTTATATGCCAGGCTAGAGGCGAGAGAGATTTCTTTCCCTCTTTTTCTGCCAATTATTTTTAGCAAAATCTTAAAATATTGCTCACTAATGGACTGCCTCCCCGCCCCCGACCTATAACTACAGAGGCCACTAGAGAAAAGAATGCAGACAGTCACACAGAAGAACAGCGTGTATCTGTGCCAGGAAATGGGAACTACATTGCGCTTCTACAAATAGCCCATTTCCCAATGCATATTGGTTTAAGAAGGAACAGAAAAAGGCCAACTGTTAGAAAATCAAGCCATGTAAGGGAAAAACTCCTAGGTACCTTTTCCCTCATAATGTATTAGAGGTACTATAGAAAACCCAGTCTATTCACAGGTCCCACACAATACAACAAGCCTCCAGTCTATACTTTCGCCGACAGCGAGCCAGATAGGTAATGGCCTCGCACCAAAGTCCTTTCTTGATCTTCCTTCACTAAAGCTCTCCCCAAAGCTGGAGGTACAAAATTGCTCCTACCTGTTGTTTCTCTTTAGAGGATGAAAGAATAGATATTGTGATTTGCATTGTTTTGTAAAATAGCAGCATTTCATACAGTTTTGAAAAATAGGACTTAGAATGTCAGATTTGATCTTTCCTGGTTTTACTGTAACACACACTTCAGGAAAGAGGGTGCCTTGAAATACTGTGATCCTTTATATAAAGAAGTGGTAGTGCTAACAGAACCAAGTTTGCTTCTTAGAATCATAGAATCTTAGAGTTGGAAGGGACTCCAAGGGTCATCTAGTCCGAAACCCTGCAATGCAGGAATCTCAGCTGAAGCTGTCCTGTTGCTTGAGGTGTGGCTAGGTGGGCCTCAAGCACCTTCTCTTCCAGCAAGGCAGCCAGCTTGCACTTGCTACAAGTGTACTGCTGCTTGTTCTCTGGCAGAATGGCAAACACGGCACAGGTGTTACAGGTCACTGCAGCAGCTCCCTCTCCCACCACGTCTCTGGTCCTGTGCACACCAAGAGACACAACTCCGGGCCTCCCCTGCTAAACGCCCTGGCAAACACCCCTGTTTGCGAGGTCTGTTTGCGAGCTCCCAGGATCTGCACTGAGCTAAGTTTCACTGCTGCTGGTTGCTAACTCCTCCCTCAGCTTGGCTTCCTTCTCAGCTGTAACTCCTCCCCCTCAGATCCTATGTGTCCTCTCTCTCTTTGGTGGATGCTCTAGGGGCTGTTTTCATGCATAGGACCCAAAATACACACAAATCCTCCCTCCTGCTACTTACACAACATTTGAGTGGCACAAGAGGATAGAATTCAGAAGCTAAATAGAATGCACTTTCTAGTCATTCTTGTAGTGTTTTGGGGTTTTTTTTTACATTCCTATTAGACACTGATTCAAGCATAAACCAATTTCGGCCTCACAAGCAAAATTTCCAACCCAATACAATTTGAAAACTGAAGAGCAAACTGCACTTTGGGCCATTTCAGCCATTCACCCATCCATCATGTTTGTATGTGTGCCCCTCCACTATGTACTTCAGGTAGTGTGTGGCATTGGGGCACATATGGCCATACAAAACTAAGTCCAGTGTATGTGATAGCTCCTCCTCAAAAAGAGAGGAGGAGGTGTCTGTAACTCAGTGGTAAAGAACATGCTTTATATGCAAAAGGCCCCAGGGTGGGCCTGGGGAAATCCCATCTGAAAGAGCCTGGAGAGTTCCTGCCACACATTGTAGACAACAATGAATGAGATGGACAAACTGTCTGACATAGTAGAAGGTTTGCATGTCTGCCCCTCCACTCTGTACTTCAGGCAGTGGATGGGTTTTATCTAGCTAAGTTTAAATGAATGGATATAAGCTAGCAATGCCCATTAACTTCAATGGGTTTACTCTGCATTGGATGCAACCCTACATTCCAATGATTATACAAATTGTGTTTACATGTAGGATGATTTCTACACATGCTCACACATCTCTCCCTGTCCTTTACCCTGGCAAGTGGCAAGCAAGAAGCATTTTCAAAGTGCAAAGCAGGGCTAAAGAGGGGTGTGGCCCAATGAGTGCCTCAAGGGCCAGATAGAGAGGCCTGGAGGGCCACATTTGATCCCCAGACTTGAGGGGTCCCCCATCCTTGACTTAGTTGTTAGGCCACAGAACGTAGTGGCAGCTTTGGGAGAGCTATACTGAGTGACACAATGTAGGCTAAAAACTGCAAACGAATAGCTAGGTGACCATCAAGTGGGTGGGGAGATAGGTTAGATAGGAAGAAGATAGTTTATGGGATCCTAGGCCCTGACCCTGAGGAATTCATCACTGCTTTGGTGAGGAAGGGAAAACATGAGTGGATCCAAGAGACCTGTCCTAGACATTAGAGCAGCAAGACACAGATTCATTGCACACCTCTCCACATCAAACAGAAACCTCAACAACACTGGGATTCTCAGCAGAGTTATGCTGAGTTCACTGCAATGAGATGCTAAATGCATCTGGAAGTGCCAAAGTGCAATTTTGTGCAAAAGTTCAGTGGTCTGCTTCCTTGCGTTTCCTCCATCTTCCCCCACATGGGGGGTGAGCTGGGAGGCTGCCGCTTCATTCACATCATGGACTCTTCTTCATCCTCTTCAATCTCTTTATCTACCTGAAAGGCTATATTCTCGTAGCTGGTTATCCCTCCATATTTCCTCATATGGACCATCAAAGGTTTAGGTGACTGGCTGCCTGCCAGAGTAGCCACATACATGCCGGTTCTGTTCTCCTCCAGGGAAGGACCCCAGTCCATGGTTGGCCTGCTAGCTTGCTGGATTCTCTGCAAGTAGAAGGACAAACAATTACAGGAAGTACCATGATGGACATCCAAAAGAACGTCCATCTTTGGGAGTCCAAAATTGCTTTGATACTGTCGAAAGCATTTCTGTGAAAGAACATGGAAGAACATCTCCAAAGCTCCCAAGGCATTGCCAATGAAGTAAACCCAAACAGTGATTAGTGTTTGCACAGCCAATAAGGTTGATGAACACAGAGCACTGGTCTTTGTTCACTGTTAGTGTTAACTTTTTAACTCCAAAGAAGTTATCAGCACCTGTGGAGGCAGACAGTTCTGTTAATTTCACAGGGTGCCCTGACTGTTCAGCACTGCACAGCAAATGTGCAATATAGTCTGAGATTAGCAGCAATATCATGTTCTTTTCTGCAAAGCAGAAGTGCAAGGCTCTGCTATTTTTCTACAGATCTTCATATTGGTTCTATGTTTGAAAATATTTCAAGTTTATGCAATGTACATAAACACCACTAGATGGCAACCTCTGTCCCAGCAATATAGAAACTTGACATTATTAAAAGCTATTTAAACGAAGTAATTCAAATGAAGATAGAAAGTGGGTGGGGGTGTTGGTATTTAGCGTATCTCTGGAAAGTCAATTTTTTTAAGATTGGATGGCAAGGAAAGTTCCTTTGCTTTCTCCACACATTCTTTTTAAATGGCTAAATAAAATGAAACTGACAACCAGTTGTCCTCTAGCAGAGGGGGAATGATTGCAGCCTCATTCACTGTACCTAATGGTATGACCAACTCTGTTTAGACAAAGCATTAAACTGAGGCTAGTTAAAACAAAAGAGAAAGCTTCCAATCTTCTCCTTGTAGCCACAATGGTCATATAAAGTAGACCTAAAAGGTGCAAAAACAAAGATCCCATGAGAAAACAGACTCTCCAAGTGTCCCTGAAGGAGCGTCTCCACCCCCATTGTTCTACCTGGACACTGAGGTCCAGTGCCAAGGGCCTTCTGCCGGTTCCCTCACTGCGAGAAGCCAAGTTACAGGGAACCAGGCAGAGGGCCTTCTCGGTAGTGGCGCCCACCCTGTGGAACGCCCTCCCACCAGATGTCAAAGAGAAAAACAACTACCAGACTTTTAGAAGACATCTGAAGGCAGCCCTGTTTAGGGAAGCTTTTAATGTTTAATAGACTATTGTATTTTAATATTCTGTTGAAAGCCACTCAGAGTGCCTGGGGAAACCCAGCCAGATGGTTGGGGTATAAATAATAATTTATTATAATATTATTATTATACCTATTTTCCAGGGACAGTCCTGGATTTACAGAAACTGTCCTGGTTTCTGATTTGATCCTGGAATGTCCCGCTTTTCCTTAGGACATCCCTGTTTTCATCAGAGAAATGTTGGAGGGTATGAGAAAACAAAGAAAATGACCCCAGAAGCTGCTTACCTGCCAGAGTGTTCCTTCCTCATGGAGCACAGCAAAAACCATCCCCGTGGGGATCATCAGACAGGAGATGATTCCCATCAGGATGCCTAGGATCTCAGCCCAGAATGGAAAACGATAGGATCCATTATACTCTGATGGTTCATACTTGATGATGCTGTACACCAGCAGAGCCTGAAACAAAGAGTGTCATCATAGAATTGCACGAAGCATTTCCCCTTCCATTTTGAGTCAGTTGTAGGGAGTGCTGTCCTACAGATGAACTTTTAATCTCAGGAGGTGTAGGACAAGACCCTGCTAACAGACCAGGGGAGAATGAGATGAGCTGGGGGAAATGATTCAAAACTACCACCTGGCAGAGACTGAAGGTTTATCCATACCTCCGCCAAAATCTGCAGCGCTGAATCAGAACAAATGGCAATCAGGTTTTCTGCAGATTGTGATTTGTTCTACATAGCACTAAATAGAGGATTTTCTAGGGGAGAGCAGCGGGGCCAATACAAAAGTACTCAGACCCATGCCTAGAGCGTCAGGACAAGCGGAAAACCATTTGGACGTATGCTTTCCAGGCACAGGGCAAGCAGAAATGTGGTCAAGCCTTTAATCAGTCTGTAGTTTCCATTTGAGAAGCTTCCCACTCTCTTGTGACATTTTAGATGATTTTGATAAGGGTATTGTCCAGCTGTGGATATTGGTGCATATTTACCATCATTGTCACTGGAGACAGGAACAGCCAACAGGCTTTGAAGTATATCCCTGGCTTGAAACCCAGCATCATATGAATGTCACGACAGAATCTCTTCATGCCTGCGGAGAACAAAATGATGTGTAAGAAATGGAATATTACATCAGCTGTTTTCCACTAAATCATTAACGGCACAACCCAATGCAAGTTCACTCAGAAGTAAGCCCCGCTATGGTTAATGTGGCTTGGCCCCAAGTAATAATGCAAAGGATGGCTGTCCGAGGCTATCTGGGAGTAAACTCCATCAAACACAGTTCAACTGACTTCCAGAGAAGCAATTTTTAATGGTACATAAAGATATGTGACTTACCCACAAAACAAACAGTAGTACAAATGTATTCTGCAGAATACATTGTTTTTAAATGTTAAAACTTATTTATATGTACTGTATTTTTTGCATTTATTATATATTACTGGTTTTGAGACTTTTAGTTGTAGTAACAACCACACCACCCCCTTTGGTGCAGTATGAAAGCCAGGGGTGGTACAATTCTAAGTTATCATTTTAACCACTGCCACATGCATCTTGAGATGTTGCATATGTTATTGGCAGTCTTACTTACCCCACAAAAGCCAGTGTATATCTCTTTGTATTTATCAATGTCACTTAAAAAATCTCAACATATCAATCTCAACTCAGCAATTCAGAATTGAATTTCTACACTATCAGTGTATCTCGTCTTACCATAGACACGTGTCACCACCAGGCAGGTGGTAATGACCACTACCATGAGTCCAAACCCAGCGCTATAGTCATCCAGCAGCACCAGCCAATACATCCCGCCCTAGGGAGAAGAAGCAGTGAATGGTCAAGGCCTCTATCAAAACATGGGATTGTCAACTCAGTGAGTTTACTTGTGTCAATACATCCTGTTCTACAGGCCAGCACCAGCATTTTAATAACCTGAATATTTAGGAAGTATGAACGGGGGGTGTCACGTACCAAATATGTCACTCTAGGAATTTCATGGGCTCATTCTATCAGGGCACAGAAAACACTATGATTTGCTTTCTGAATCACAGCTCAAATTACAGGTGGAATTCTACTGAGTTCTGTCAGCACAAGGATTTCTGATTGCACAACAGGACATTCCCCTCTTGTTTCCCTGTGTGTCCCTATGCCCTCCCCAAATCTGCTCCAGAGGGTTTGGGGAACCCCTAGAACATTTAGGGAGGGCACAGAGAGAGGAAAGAGGGAGAACACATCAATTGCCCCTGTAAATCCTCAACTTAAATGATCGACAGAAAGGTCTGGCTGCTGCAGTCTTGGACTGTCCATTTTGCTTACCTCTGTTGTGAGGATGAGCCCCATCAGGAACATCACAATACAAACGACGCCTGAGAAAAAAGCCTTCTTTGGCCGCAGGTAATATGGGAACTCATCTGTCACCGCAGTAACAATGGTCTCTAGAAAGGCAAACTGCACACAGATAATAACAGATGCTCTCTTGTACTGTAAGCCATAAGCACCATTCGCTTGAGGCCATATAGTTCAAGTCCTTCCTCATAGCAGAGCACACTCTTACCTGACTGTCCAGGCCAAGAGTCAACAGCATGAAGAAGAAAAGGAAAGACCAGAAAGGAGAAAGAGGAAGCATTGTCATTGCTTGTGGGTACACCACGAATGCCAAGCCTGGACCTAGAAGACAGGCAAAGGAGGAGAAGAATCACAAGTGGGATTATACAGCTACAGGCAAGAAGATATTACTGAGACTGAGTAGAGTTTCATGGCTGTAGACATAAGGGCAACTTACAGCAAGAGATGTCAGGAAAGGAGAAATGTCACAGAAACAGTCTAGAGTTGGCACAGGGCAGTGTTTCCCTACTGGAAACGGTTTCCAGTCCCTGAAGTACTACTTGCTTTCTGGACCGTATTTTTTGAAAGCCAAGGCTCAGGAAACAAGTCATTGATACCCTAAGTCACAACTTAGGATTCTTCAAGACATGGATGATCTAGCAGAAGCCAATTGTTGCTGTTCTGATTTAAGCTGGAAGTGGAACACTAACTCTGCTTTCAGATTTCTAACACCTGCTAGCAAAGTGAGCAGCCCCAGATATTGGAGGGTATGTGTAATTTTACTGTGGAAGGAGTTAAATAGTGCCTTTCTCTCACCATGATCACAATTGCAGTTACACCCTACCTCACCTTGTGTGCTGTAATTTAGAGTGGGAAGGAAGAAAAAAATGACATAAAAACAATGTTATTTAGAAAGGGAAGGGTTAAAGCAACAGAGCTGATTCCTAGAGGAGCAATATAGACCATAAAGGGGAAACTACCTAGAGCATAATTAGAAAATGGTCACAATACTCTAAATTTCCCAGAATAGCTGTATACCCAGAGGGAAATTATGCAGCAATTCCACTCTGTGTGTGTGTTTTGTGTGTGTGTGTGTGTGTGTGTGTTTATAAAAAAGAATATTCTTAGCTCCCCTCAAAATAAGGAAGCCAAAAATTTAAAATGTAAAAGGAGGATGTTCTGTTCACGATGTCCTGCAGCCTCAGAAATCATTTGCAAGCCAATTTCATTATGTTGCATGCAGACATGTAATGCTTGGAAGACCTGGTGGACAATACACACACTTGCACAGAAGATGGAGGGAAGGAATGTTCAGGCCTTACCTGCTTTGGCAACTTCCTGAACGGGGACGTCAAGTTCTTGGGACATGTAACCCAAAACAGAGAAGATGGCAAAGCCAGCCAAGATACTGGTGATAGCATTGCCCACAGTAACTATAAACGTATCCCTACAGAATAAAAAATACAGGAACTGGATCAGCTGTCTCTAGCATCATGAACTGGCCATTTGAGACCCCATAGCAGTGGCGGGGAGCCATTTTCAGCTCAAGGGTCACATTCTGGCAGTCACATGCTAGCAGTAGGCAGGACTAGAGGTAAAAGTGGGCAGTGTGAATGCCACCTGTGAACAGTAGGCTACTTTCTGCATGCACATGTATACACACACCACCACCACCACCACCAGGCAAGAAGCATGATTAGAGCTTAAGGGGACATTCCAGGCAGGCAAAAAGACTTAAGGAGATTGCAGAGCACAGCTGGGAAGAGGTGTGGCTCAGGACAGTGTGTGGTCTGTGAAGAGTCCCTGGGGCCAGACAGAGAGGATTGAAGGGCCACATTTGGACCCTGAGCCAGAGGGTTCCATCCCTGATGTACTGAGTTGGAAGGCAAGAGGAAGGAAAGGATGACACCACAACCAAATTAGGCTGCCATACTTGCCATCTATTGGGATCTAAGTTGTGGGGTTCATACCTTAGAAAATGCTACTCTGCTGTGCTTTGGGTTTACATGGAAATATCGAGAGATATGTCACCTATAGAAATATGAAGGAGCATATGTTTTGCTGAGGATAAAGAGCAGAAACAGAGTTCTCATGGGATCTTTATGCTGATTTTATTTGAATTCCATGATGAGCTGGAATTCTGTGTGGTTGTGCCACAATAAACCTTCCTTTTGCACAAGCATTTCAGCAGAACCAGAACAATCCCCTCTCTCCTCCCCGCCCTATGCTGTTGTTGGGGATCTCCCAACATCTCCCAAGCCGATTTTGGGGGGTGTAGGGGAAGGAAAGGGTGGGAGGTCCTATTGTGCAAGCGGAAATCTTTGCACAGAGCTTTCTCTGATGGGGCAGGGCTTGTTGGGTGAATCTCATCCTCTGCCTTCACTGTCGCAAAGCATCCATTAGAGGGATGGTGGGGAGCCAGGGAAAAGGTTGACTGATTTAGTCTATGTTCGTTTCCATTGTACATTCCCACTTGTTTTCTGGTAGTTACATTTTGTCTCCTTCCTCTTGCCACATCCATCATTCACCTGCTACTCTATACAGCCTCAATTCAGGGATCATGGAGTGTTGCTAACATCCATGATGACATGGATGAGCAACCACCTCTGTATGTTCCATCTCCATGCCATGTTACACTGAAAACATGTACCTGTAAATGTTCTGGTGGAAGGTGTTATATGATGCAAAGGTGAGAAGTCCCCCAAATCCTACCCCAAGAGAGTAGAAGATCTGTAAAGCTGCTTCAATCCACACCTGAAACAGTGTTTGAAAACAAGAGGTAAAGGAGAAGTCCATTGAAATGCAGAAGAGTCAAGACTCTGCTTTGAGTGACAAAACAGTCCATTCATGTGCACAGTGAAGCTTTTTCTAAGGATGATCTAACCAGCTTGAAAGCATACCAGATTCGAAAGCATAGGTACTGTTGCAGTGGGAAGGTAAACAGCGTTTCCGTGCTCTCTGGCTTCCGTCACAGTGTCCCGTTGCGCCAGAAGCAGTTTAGTCATGCTGGCCACATGACCCGGAAAGCTGTCTGCGGACAAACACCGGCTCCCTTAGCCTGAAAGTGGAGATGAGCGCCACACCCCATAGTTGAATTCAACTAGACTTAACTGTCCAGGGGTCCTTTACCTTTACCTAACCTCTCATGACAACGAAACATTAAGGAAGAACTTTGTCAAAGCACATCTGCCAATGTATACAATTTTAATAAATAATAATAATCTGCCAATGTCTGCACTTATTCCTTAATGAAGTTAAATGATCCTAAAGTGTTTCTGTACATCTCCTCATAAAGGATGCATGCTGATTTCTACTTTGCACGTTACAGCAGAAGTGAAGGCAGTAAACACACGTTATACTTTTGCTTTTTCCTCTAATGCACAGGAGAACTCTGTGTTTCGATTGGACCCACCTAAGTGCATTTCTATAGAGTGTATGCAATACATGTAGTAGATCTCAGACAAGTCAACACATGGGAAGGGGCCTTGGCTCAGTGGTCCAGCACATGCTGTGTACACAGAAGAGCCTGCAATCAGTCTTTGGCATCTCCACTTACAGGTTTAGGAGCAGGATCTGGAGAGCAACTGCTAGTCAAAATAGGGAACAATGGGCTAAAATGAGAAATGAGGCTCAGTATATATATATATGAGCCACTTTATATTTTCATATAAATGTTTCATATGAGGGAAGTGAGTGATGCTGATGGAAACAAGGGGGCTGGAAATGGGTAAGTTGTCTTTGATTTTATAGGGGGAGGTGCTAAAATACACAACTGCTGTTTATGGTAGCAGCAACACATCTAATATAGTATGTTGCTCTGGTCTCAGTGATGTATATTTTGCATGGACAGATCTAAAATGCTATTCTTACATAGCATTGGAATGTCACTTGCTTTTCAATTTTATTTTTGCAAGGGCTGTCCTACTTACAAGTGGGGTCCAATTAAAACCTGATTGGCCTATCCAGCCCATAAACATTCTTCTAAAAGGAAAGCCTTTTCCTTCCTTGTGCATCCCACCAAGTTTGAGGAGCCCCCTGCTGCACACATCTGCTCTGAACATGGCGAGCACTTGTGTGTGGCAGCTGAAAGGGCAGGTCTATGTAATTAAGCTCCACTCTACAGTGAAATCACATGGCATAAACCTCACCTTGGGAGACAGTAGCAGGTCAAACTGTGGCGTGAGATAGAACTTGATTCCTAACCAGGCTCCTTCCAGGGTCACACCTCGAATCAGGAGCATGATCAGGATGAGGTAAGGAAAGGTAGCTGTAAAATATACAACCTGCAAGAGGATAAAGGTATTTGATTGAAGCTGCAGTGGTTCATTTCAGTATGCATAAGAAAATGTGGAGATGGTGGCTGTCTACAGGACATCTCTGTAGAAGTCTTGCAGTGTTCCACAGATTATGCAGAGTGGTTGTCATGTACCCATAATGTCCAACCATTGTGGTGTATTGGTTGGAGTGTTGGACTAGGACCTGAGAGACTAGGGTTCATATTGCCACTCAGCCATGGAGCTCACTGGGTGACCTTGGACCAGTCACCAAATCTCAGCCTAACCTATCTAATAAGAGTTATGTGAGGATAATATAGAGAAAGAAAAAGTGGTGCATGAATCCTTGAGTTCCTTGGAGGAATATAAATGTAATAAATAAATAATTCCTCTGCACGTTGCAAGAAATTCAGAGTTAGAGCATCCCCAAGAGATGGTTGTCCAGACCTCCAGTGATGGAGAGCCCACCACCCCTCTCGGAAATTGACTTGAGTTTGCTCTTACCATCAAGACATTCCTCCTAGTGCAGCTGGGTGGGGGTACACATGGTTATTGTCAGACAATGATACCAATTGTGCGAGGGAGGAGACTGGAGCTGTACTTGTTGGCCCCACCAGCTCTGTTAGGTCCCCTGTAGCCTGTCCTGTCTCCCTCCATGCATCGGAAGGCTGAGCATCTGCAGCTGGGAGTCTGCTTTACTTGCAGGGCTCCCCATACAATTTAGAACCTTGGCAGCAAATTCTAAAATGTGTGGGGAATGTCCACATGTAAAGCCAAACACCCCCCCCCATTCATATACATTAAGCCCCGGTGTATAGAGGGTTACTGGTTGGGCCACTGCGAATGCAATGGAGGGGAAGAGGCCAACCATTGAGTCTAGCTAATAGTTCCAGAACAAGCATAGCTTCAAACACACTAGTGGCTGCTGCCGATTCATACTTTACCTTGCCAGAGGATTTGACTCCCTTTAGGATACATAGGTACACAATGACCCAGGCGAGGAGAAGACACAGGCATAGATTCCAGCGGATCCTCCCAGGATCGCCAATCCCCGAGCTCTCCTGGATGTGCAGGACATAACGACTAGGACAAAAGGGAGGCGGTTAATGGACAGGAGCATCACGTCTCTCTTAGAACAAGGGAGGGCAAATCTGCCATTGAAAACCACATAATTTAGGAACATAAACTGGATTGGGCCAAGGGCCCCAAAAGGGCTGGGGATCCCTGATTTAGAGTGTGCAGTTGTCAATCAGGTCCAATATGGTCGTCAATGGTCGGTCACCTAAACATTGCCTGGCTTATTGTACTTGCCTCCAGTATTCCTCACTTGGGCTGACAGTGTTAGAGATGTTGAAGGGGACAGCGCCATTCCCCGTGCGCATGATGTGGTGGTCCAGGCACAGATCTGTATTCCACCAGTTGCCACAGTACTGCCAGGGCAAGTTTTTTGTCAGCGAGGCAAAGAGGTAGAAGAGAACGTAGGCAATGATCATGTTATAGTAAATGGCCACCAAGCAGACAATCAGGATTGTGGCCATGCCAACACCTGAAAAGGGAACGAAAATGGAAGACAGATTAACATAACGGCAACAAGACTCAAACAGCTCCTTGGGTGCTGCTTATATGCTGCACTGTTTATAGTGAACATTTCCACGCCAGAAAATCTGAGTCAGTCATAACCACATAGGCTGGCACTTGACGACTGGAGAAGAAAGCTTCATTTGCTTTGGTTACATGATATGTACAGAGGATGGAAGGACCAGCCTATTCCTGGTCCATGCCAGCTTTGCATGTTTACATTCATAAATCCATTTTGCCCTATTTCTGAATTAATCTACATTTAAAAAAGAAATCCAAACTAAAATTTACATTTAGACACATATTTTCTCACAAATTACATAAGTACATGAAAATAGCTCTGCTATCTAGGCCACATCCTATTTTCACAGTGACCAACCAGATGCCTTTGAGAATCTTGCAAGCAGGAGTGGAGAACAACAGAGCTCTCCCCTCCTGCAGTTTCCAGCAATTAGTATTCAGAGGCATACTGCCTCCTACAGGGGAGGCAGTACATAGCCACTGTGGCTAATAGCAATGTCCTTCTTGAATTTGTCCTGTTTTGGAGCCATCCAGTTGGTGGCTATTGCTATGCATTGCTAAGGTTGCTTCCAGATTTTGAGGAGGGGAGTTATTATGCAAGCAGGTTATTGAGATATTGCAAACAGGTGTTTGTTTTACCTTTCCTTCCTGGAAAGGGTAAATCTGGATTAAATGCCATGCCAGGGGAGGGGGGAGGAATACAGGCTGGATACTGCAAAAAACGTGTATGCGTGAGACACACCAACACCACAGTACAGTGGTACCTCGGGTTAAGAACTTAATTTGTTCTGGAGGTACATTCTTAACCTGAAACTGTTCTTAACCTGAGGTACCACTTAAGCTAATGGGGCCTCCCACTGCCGCTGCCCTGGCAGAGCACGATTTCTGTTCTCATCCTGAAGCAAAGTCCTTAACCCGAGGTACTATTTCTGGGTTAGTGGAGTCTGTAACCTGAAGCGTCTGTAACCTGAAGCGTCTGTAACCCGAGGTACCACTGTAAACACCAGTCTGAAAGCACCTTAAATATATTTTGTCTCAAACTACACATTTCTATATGCGTTTTAGTATCGGTTTTTTTGCAGAATTTGAAAAACTGTGAAATCCCAAGGGATAGTTGCATTCCAATCTGCACATTCATCTGGGAGGTGTGGATTGTGTCTGCTTGTACTGGAATTAGCAAGGGACTGATTCCTCAAGCATCCCTATCCATTTATAACTATCCACACCAGTAATTTTCATCCTGGCTGTCACATTTGTCACCATCTCTAGTGTAAGCTGTTGCATTTAAAAGCACACAAGCCATGTGAAAACATTGGCCTCGTTGGGGTTGTTTCTTATGCAACTCGGAGCTTGAGACTGGACCATTAAAACTCTGAAACAATGAGAGAGAGAAAGGCTGCCTTCTCTGTGCCTCTCACCATGCAGCTTCACTGATCCCTTTGTGTACCATCCATTCGCACCCATAGACTCCTATGTTCTAAGTTTGCTCCATGATGAGCGGAGACAGTGGCAACAGCTGCTGCTATGCCTTTTTGCTACTGACACAACGGACCCTGGTTTTATAGTTCTCAGCAGAAGAGAGAGAGACAGAAACATCAAGGAAGCTGAGAACTGCCTTGCATGCACACATACCTTTAAACAGAGGGCTTATTTTCCAAACAGCAAGAGGCCCCAAGCTGGAGAACTGGCCCAGCGACAGCTCCATGAAGAAGATGGGTATCCCACAGATCGCCAGCATGATGAAATAAGGAACAAGGAATGCCCCTGTAGGATAGAAAATTGTGACACAAGGCACAGGGGGCATGACTGGATGTTGGGCAAGCAGCACAGTTAAATGTGAGCACCTTGTTATATAACTTCCCTATGTAGCATAGTTTCATTGTGCTAAAGGGACCTTGGAGGTCATCTAATGCAACACCAGCTCAATGTAGGATCTACAGTGCAGGCTGCAACTTTAATCTAGATTGAACATTTCTATGGAAAACCCAATAGGTTAAAACAAAAACTGGAAACAGTAAATGTGGATTAAGTGAGAATGGGAGTGGGGAGAATGGAACGGCATTTTGATGTCATTGTGTGGATACTGCAAAAAAAAAACCTTGCATGCCTGAGCAGCGCCAAGTCTACAATAGCTCCCTTGATTTCCAGTTACTTTAACTGTATGTGCAAATGCCCAGGTTGCCATCTGAGAACTCTATGACTCCAGCATTGGAAGTACCCCCTATCATAATAACTTGCTTGTGATGGGACCATAGTTCAGTGATAGAGCACATGCTTTGCTTGCAGAAGGTCAAGAATCATTCCTTAGCATCTTTGGTAACAAAAATGAGGAAATAGGCACAATAATAGGAAACTGAGATGATCTGGGGGACTTAGAGCAAAGACTTTAAGGTGAAAGCTGAATCTAAATGACTTGACAAGATCACTGGAGTGACTGTGGTTCAGCCAAGAACCCAATTAAATCCCCATAGTATCCTAATCAGTGGATTAAAATGGGGAAAAAACATAAAACGTCAAAGACTATCTACATGGCACATATTTTCAAATTTGCATTTTTGGCAGCTGTCTGAGATTCACAAGATTTTCTGTCAATTCAAAGGGCTCAGTTTCTACTCTACTGAAAGCCAGCCAATTTTGTCATAGAAAACAATTCCACCCACCATTCTTAGAAAAGCAATCTGAAGACACTATTCATCAAACACTAACCAGAAGATTCAGCTAAGCAAAATCAAATTATTTCTCTGAATTCTGTCAGCTTTCTGGGACCGACACCCCTATGGCATAAGCAAAACACTGATAAAGATTTACAGTGAATGGTTAGAATCTTGTTGTTGTTGTTACTTTTCTCCCCAGTGGAGAAGATGGTATCTCCAGGAGTGTGCTGCCCTTTCACATCCTGAATTCATGCAAGCTGCACTATGCACTGACTCAGAAGGATGTATGCCTCCTACTGATTCATCCGTGTTGCTTTCGGAAGCACGCAGGACATTTGACAGAGGTGCCTGGCATCATGCTGAAGCCTGCTTAAGAGTAAACAGTTCATATGGCATGGCAGCCAGCCCCTTTATAAATGTGTCCTTAGTTGTATATCCCAGGACACCACAGGGGTATAGTAAATGGGTCACAGAGGACTATCACCCATGAATAGGGTAGACAATCTAGGGACCTGTGCCTTTTCATCCAGCACTGAGCTGGAGCGAACTACAGGAATTTGAGTTTTGTATGTTTAGGTGTCGACTTTCTGGCAGTTTTTGTTGTGATCACCCCGTCCCCATTTTGGTTTTGTAAAAATTAAAGGGACCATAGCCTAGGCAGATATTCTTTAGATACCACTTCAGTATCACTTGTGTTCCTGGTGTCTGTCTTTTTTTTTAAAAAAAATAAAACACTCCATCCCCCCTGCCCTGCATTTCAGAGATGCAGGTGTGCCTGTCATTTGGGGTGGGCAGTGTACGCTCCCACCTGCCAGATCAATGTCTTGCAAGCTGCAGAGAGAGACAGTAACTCAGCAGTGTCCCCAGGGTGCTTGTGCACCAGCCAAGAGCAAATGCACATCCAACCCAGGGGATCAGCAGAGTCGTTTGTGACTCCAAGCTGAGAAGCTGATGCAGGAAATCAGGTGTCTGCTTGGTGCGTTTCCTGAAGTTGGTTGTGGCTACAGGCAAAGCAGCAGCATTGAGGAGTCCTTCTGGGCCATGCCTGCGTAGCAGTTGCTGCTGTGGGAGTTGCACGCACACACAACTCCTACCTGACACCAGTTTTCTATTGTCAGTTTTAAATATAGAGATGCAGCCCTCCAGCACAGGAGGTAAGAAAAGCCCAGGGCTTACCTCCTCCATTTGTGTAAGCGCGGTATGGAAACCTCCAGACGTTCCCCAGTCCAACACAGTAGCCAATACAGGACAAAAGGAAATCCAGCTTGCCTGTCCAGTTCCCTCTGTCTTCAGGGTATTCAATCTCCAGGTCACCATCTCCTTGATCGCTTGGAGTCATTAGCAAGTCTGGAATCACGGGCTGACAAGGGGCAGAAGTGAGGAATTAAAGACAAGGTTGTTGGAAGAAGACAGAAAGAAATGCAAGGGAAACTTCAGAGAGCAAGGGGAAATGATTTTTTTTTTTAAGAAAAGGGTTGATAGAAGCTAGATGGTGGTATATGTTTGTAATATACACACACAGGGGTGGGCAACCTGTGGCCCTCCATGTTATTGGACTACAGCATACTTAGGCGAGCACAACTGGTTCGGTCGCACTGTGCATGGTGCCTCAGGGGTGCCTTCTGGGGAGCTCAAGAGGTGGAGGGGCTCCGAATTTTGGCGTCACACAGGGTGCCGCTGAAATTTGAAACACCAAGAGATCTGCCACTGAGTGACTGTGCCTTTCATCATGGCTGCCCATACTGCTTGGGGCTGATGGGAGCTGCAAGGAAAGACTTGCATCTGTCATGAGCTGAGTGAAGTCCATCTTCTCAGCCTCAGAGGTCCACAGCAGGAGCTGTTGCCTGTCTGCTTTATACAGAGCCAGCCCATTTGTGACCTCCAGTTATTGTTGGGACTACAGTTCCCATCTTTCCTAATCACTGGCCATGCCAGCTAGAGTTGATGGAGGTAGACTCCAACATCATCTGGAGAGCACCACCCTGGACTACCCTTGGTCTACTCTACACTGACTACGCTCTCCGGGGGTTCGGTTCCAACAGACGTTTTCCCCAGCCGTATTTGGAGATGCAATTGAATCTGAGATCCTCATCATGCAAAGCTTGTGCTCTGGCACAGAGCTACACCACTTCTCCATGTCCAGTTCTGCTCTCCCGGCTTGCATGATGTTTGTCAAGGATTAACTTAACCCATATTGCACCTGAATCACACCCCTGGGCCAGCGATAGCTAACATAGTGCCCTCAGATATTGTTGGACTCCAACTCCCATCATCCCTGACCACTGATCTAGTTGACTGAGGCTGATGGGAATTGGAGTCTCATAATTGGCTACCTCTGCTCTGGCCCAACAAACCCTCTTTGGTTTGCCAAGTTAAAAAGCAGCAACCCATCATCTCGCTGGCTTCCATTGCCTCATTTAAGAACTGTCTGCCTAGCTAAGACACTGGCTGAACTAGACTGACTTAAAAATGATCCTCCCTTGACATGGCTTCCAAATATATTTTCCCAACACAAGAAGCTGCCTGCATCTGGTTCTTAATTTCATAAAAAGAGAGGTGACAGGGCTCAATCCTATATGGAAACCACACACTCTGACTTGAAAGCTCTCCCTTAAAATCCTTGACATGAGGGGACAGGCTCTGGCTACTCAGCAGCGACTGAGTTTGCCGAAACTCAGGAGAACTGTTTGATCTTTATTATTAATTCATATGTTCCTTGAAAACAGCCAGAGCACTGGTGAGCGCTGGCCCAAATTAAACGTTGGTTCTCCTTTTTTTCTCCAATAGCTGCCCTTTCCTCTCCCACAATAGGCTACAGTTGTAGCAATGCTCCTCTTGTTCAGTTTCCATGGAGACAAGTGAAGAAAGTGTTAGTGAAGCACAGATTTACCTGCCATATGTTTACATGCTCTTGCACTTACATGCGCACATATCTCTGCTCAGACCCAGCCATACAAACATGTCTGTACGTGGGCAAGCTAATATCACACACATGTGAATAACATGTGTATCCATATACAGACCTCATAGACGCAATTATATATTTTTATTTCTTTATTACATTTATATACCACTTCTATCTTCCAAGGATCTCAAGGTGGTGTACATGTTTCTGCTTTAGACTAAGAGATGGTGACTGGCCCAAGGCTTCATGGCACATATATGAACATGATGCCCAAAGAAACTTCTATATATCTTAGTTCAAAAGATGCCTATGTATGTACATGACATATCTGTAACTCATGTGGACAAGTACATTATCATGTACACTCACTCACTTTCTCACATACACACTTACATTTATAATAATCTAGACCTAACACATCAAAGCAGAAAGTAACTATATGGACAGGACAGTGCCAACATCTGTAGAAATGAATATAACCAGGGAAAATCTACTAAAAATGCCCTTCATGGTACTGTATATTTTTCCATGCACCATAATAGCCATTCATCTGTTTACTGAACACATTTATATGCCATTAATCCTCCCAAAGGCTGTCAAAGTGATTTACAATACAGCATTTTAACATCTAAAATATAATAGCAACGTTAAGCAGCTACAAGATAAAATTAATACAGACTGAAAGCTTCCTTTAAAAAGCCACATTTTAGCTTCTCACTGAAAAGTGAGCAAGTGAGGTAGCCATATGGCTCTTTCTGGGGAGGTCACTCCACAGTCTAGGCTCCGCCATCGGAAAAGCCATCTTGTGTCACCACCTGCCAAATTTCAGGCAGCAGGAGGACTACCAACAGAGTGGCAGTTTAACAGAGTGCTTGAGCATGAGCAAAAGGAAGAAGGCAGTCCATAAATCAAACTGGCTCCAGATCTTTTAAGGCCTTAAGGTTAAGACTTCAAATTAAGCCTGGAACCAAAATTCATGTTGGTACAACTGGAGTATCACTGGGATGACAAGATCAGAAAGCGTCATACTGTACCAAGGCAGCTACATTTTGAAGCGACTGAAGCTTTCAAGTGCTTTGGAAAGGCAGGCAGCCATGTATGGAATATGTTACAGTGATCTAAACTGGGCATAACAGGGGCATGAAGAACTGGCCAGGTCTTCTCCAGCTAGGAACACAACTGGTGCATCAGCCAATTATGCTGAAAAGCTTATGGTCACTGAGGGCACCCAGGAGCAGTGCAGGATCCAGGAAACTTCCAAAAGTGTCCACGTGATCATTCAGGAGATTGCAGCCCCAACCAGATCAGAATGATCACCTAATTCGGGTTCAGTAGAGCTTCAAACCATGTCTTTACCCCATGCCCATTTCCTGATTTAGTTTCTCTGCACCAAACTCCTATTTCAGGCATAGGCAAACTCGGCCCGCCAGATCCTTTGGGACTACAACTCCCACCATCCCTGACCACTGGTCCTGTTAGCTAGGGATGATGGGAGTTGTAGTCCCAAAACATCTGGAGCGCCAAGTTTGCCTGTCCTATTTGAAGAGGAGGTCATCTGCACATGGGCTACCATCAGTGCATGTTCAATGGCTATCTCAGATGTACAATATCTCAGCTTAACCACAGTTTATATTTTCAAATCAGGAAGAAGGTGGTTTAAGGGGAAATGCATTGAACAAGAGAATTTCTCAAGAAACTGCAGGATACAGATGGGTTTCAGCCAATATCTTGTGTACTCAGTTTCACTGTTCCAGTAGTGGGAGTGCACTGAAGCTGGAGTAAATGGTATCCATGTGTACACAGCCTAAGTCTCACCATTACACAATGTAAACCTCCAGTTTCTAAACCTCTTGCAGTAACGGCTTATATTTTTCCAGGATTTTTGCTGAAGCAATTAGATCTTGCAGTCATTCCCTTGTAAGAAAAAGGAGTGGGGCAGCACACAGAGAAAGTAGGACAAACTAGCTGGGTGCAATAGATCTGTGTTCTAAAGCAAGTTGGGGTGGGAAATTGCCTTTAAAATAAGCGGCAAATGTATTTTAAAAATGCTTAGCTGAGTAAGGTGTACAAGGAAACTATTATGACTTTTTTTCTATTAATATAATAATAGTGTCTGTGTGTGCATACGTGTGTGTATGCACTTAAAGCAGTAAATTTTAAGGAAGTTTTCTGTTTTACGAACAATTTTAACTGATTTTATCCACGGAATTACTTTTGTATTCTTTATGTACATCACTTATACAGTGGTACCTCGGGTTAAGAACTTAATTCATTCTGGAGGTCTGTTCTTAACCTGAAACTGTTCTTAACCTGAAGCACCACTTTAGCTAATGGGGCCTCCTGCTGCTGTTGCGCCGCCTCTGCACGATTTCTGTTCTCATCCTGAAGCAAAGTTCTTAACCCGAGGTAATATTTCTGGGTTAGTGGAGTCTGTAACCTGAAGCATATGTAACCCGAGGTACCATTTTATACTTCGGTGATTAAGCAGTATATAAATAGCTGAAATTAAAAAAAATCATTTCAGCAGGCATTGTAATACTTTTCTAAATACATATATATATTACATTCTGTGCTGTCTGAATAAAATAAAACCTTACACTTTCCAGAACACTTCTTTTTTGGAGGGTTTTTTGAAAATAAAAATAAATGCCTTTGTTTTAGGAAACATGTTCATTAAATAAGTCAAAATCCTTTAGGGTTTTTTCTAGCACCTGCTTGGCATGAAATCAATGTTAACTAGTAATCTTTAGAATGTTAGTTCTAATAGATTCTCTTAAACCCCATTTTCAGCCCACATTATGGTCCAAACTATTTACCTTTGATTGCTTAATCTCTCCCTTCTACCCGCCTCCTGCCATACTCTCTTTTGTCTAAATGCCCTTCATCATCTATGAGACTACTATGAGTAAGAAGACTCTAAGCTTGGTCCTTGGTTATTGTTTTCTTCTCAGTGTCAGAATCTCAGGTGCAATGAATCAACCTATACAATACTTGGCTCTCTCTCTTTTTTTTAACTGCCCCAAAGCAAAGCAGAGGCATAGTATGAGGAAGGCAGTTAACGGACTAGTGTTTATTGTGATATCCAGCCACATACATAAATTACTGTGTGAAAATGTCCACATCACATCTTATAGTCACTTGCACACACTTTTGGACTCAAGGGAACTTGCTTGCCAAATATGTACTTAATTAAGATGGGAGAGGGGAAGGGTGCCCACAGAGCTTGAATTTTAGCCAGGGATCCCTCTATTTGTTTATTTATATGCAGCTATTTTGTAAAAATATATATATCAAGGCGGCTTACAACAAAAATACACAAAACAATACAGTAAAAAGCATATTAAAAAGTTAAAAACAGAAATCAATTAACCAATGTGGAAAGATGTATTCTTAATTGACTGCATAAGCCTAGCGAAATAGAAAAGTTTTCAGCAGGTGTTGAAAAGTTGGAACAGAAGGCACCAGCTGAATCTCTAGTGGCAGAGTGTTCCACAGGACTGAGCCAATGACATGAAAGGCTTTATTTCTTGTTGTTATCAAGAAGGCCTCATACATTTGAGGAACGACCAACAATGCCCCTGCAATGAGCTCAGTGACTGAGCTGGGATATAACAGTTCAGGTGATTCCTGACGTACCCTGGACCTAAGTGGTTCAGGCTGGCTTTGTAAATTAATACAAGGATCTTGACCCTGGCTCTGTAGCAGATGGGCAGCCAGTGCAGCTGTTTTAACTATGGTGTCACAGGTTCTCGGCCAGATGCCCCCATCAACAGTACGGCTGTTGTGTTCTGCACTAGTTGGACTCAAGGGCAGCCACATATGGTGCGCATTACAGTAATCCAGCCTGGAAGTTACCAGTGGCCAGGCTATCTCTGTCCAGGAAGGCCATAGCTCTATGGCTCATTCCTGGAACCTATATACTATGCCATGGGATGTCTGAAGAAAGAGTATGCCTCTGAGCATATGTAGAGTACATATGTCTCATACCTGAGAGCAGTTTCTAGCACCTGGCTTTCTACAAATTGAGCACCAGGAAGGGTTAATGAAGGGTTATCCCACAACTGAAGTTATATGAATCAGCCTAAAGTTTATTCTGACAAAGACTCTACCCCATTTTTTGGCCAAGGCCAGTTTCCACTGAGTGTGATCACTGCTATACTTTGGAGTGACATGTTTGTCTCTCCATGCTACAATCTGGTGCTTTCTTTAGAATCCTGGTGGCATTCTGAGCATCTTTGCTTTTCATTTTTCTTAGGCAGCCTTCTGTTCCTGAAGAAAAAAAATTCAATCATACACACCATCGCTTGGAACAACAAATTGAGGCAAGAAGCTTTTCTTCCCAGGCTGCAAAGTTTAAGCATTGTGGTTAATCTATAATGCCAAACTCTGCTGGGAGACTGAGAGACTCCAGCACAGGTTCCTCAGCAGGAAATTTTTAACAGCTTTCTGCCATTCCCTTCTCCTGTCCTTTGGACAGCTAGGTATTCTATGAAGGCATCCTCAAACAGAAATAGTTCAGAGTAGAAAAAACAAGGGCAGATTCAGAGCGAGAGGGCTATCCTTCAGATAAATGAACAATGGATAAGCTAGCTTTGGATATATAAAAAAAGAAAGTATATGGTGACTATTGTGGTAAAAAGGCAAAAAGGACAAATATTATTATTCCAATACACACCAGATAAATGTGATAGACTGCCTTTTGGAATACGAAAAACATTTCTTAGAGTGTGTGTAAGCCCCACAAAAGCCTTTATTTTACTGATTTAGGTCATCAGTCCCACATCACACTCAAGAACACTGAGTTACAGGAGAGAGAGAAAATCCCTCACTTTAAGAAATGCATCTGTGCCACATCTGAGTCACAAGCTGGCAGCTGGAGAAATCAAAAGACACCCCCCCCCCGAAACACTTCAAAATGAATATTTTTCTCCACAGTTTTGGGGAGTGTCCCATTTTGTAGACCTTGACTTCAGATCTGGTTGGAACCAGATGTGGTATGTAGTAGCCTCCCCTTACTCTACATTAGCACGGTGTAATGATGCCATATCTTTCATTTCCTCAGTTATACATTACAGGGAGAGAGAAGGGGGACCTTAGCATTAAGTTACATTTATGTGAGATGTGTGTGTGTGCACACATGTGCGTAAAAGAGAGGGTTTAGTTCTGTTGTAGAGCAGCTGCTTATGATATTAAACTTCAGTTTGAAGCTGGTTTAATACCTTGCCTTGTTCTGAAGCTGCTGAGATATTATTGTCTGAACCCCGTCAGTGTGCATGCCACACACAAAAGTTGGGGGGAAAGCAGACACGAGTTAGTGTCCTGGGGATTAGATAAGGTCATGCCTCTCAGAGGTGTTCAGATCAATTGGCTGAGGCTGCATGGCATCTCCACCACTCTGTGCTGGTGAAGGCTCATTATTTGGTGAAATGGCGGTACTTTCACCTACTTATCCAGCACCACTAGCCCAGAAACAAATTAATTTTCATTTCTCTCAAAATTTGGGATGGGAGGTGGAGACCTGGACTAGAGACGGCAGGAAGCCACCTTGAAAGTCACTAGAGCAAAACAAGGCTCACTGCTTCAGCAAAATCATAGCAAATCCCCATTTAGACAAGTATTCCCCATAGCTCCTGACTTGAATCTTCTGCTGCTGTCTTAATGGGATTGCTTTATTGTGCATTTTGACTGTGGATTTTTATTCTAACGTTTTGATTAAATTGTTTCATTGTGCATTTTAATTAGGGGGTTTTCTTGGCGGTTGTAACTTGTTTTTTTTAAAATTTGCTTTGCCTGCTACCTGCCGCAATGAGAGAGCCTTTTGGTCCAAAGACTAGCACTAGCACCAGATTTAGGGTGGTGCCAAACTGAGAAGATCCATTTTGGGGCGCCAAATGTTGGCCTCACAAAGGACGTCATATTACAAAATATTACCAATGTCCACCCCTGCTAGCACCAGTCAGAAACAGGATGGATGGCTTTGCTTATAGACTACCTGTCCCTGCAAATCTTATGAACTTTCTCAGACAGCGCACTCTGAATGGTGGTTGGAGTCTTGTGGGATTTTCTGCCTCAAGGGCCAAAATAACTTGGCTGGCCTTGAACCGGGGTGGGGGGGTGTACTGGGTGCTATTTACTGCTCTACCTTCATTTACTGCAAAATGTCTTGGAACAGCCAACAGTGGAGTCAGAAGTGGGAGATATGGGGAAAGATAAATAAATGAATAAACATTAATGCATTCATATCCCAGGGTGGCATACAGCACATGGTCCTCTACTCCCACTCCATTTTATTCTCACAGCAATATGTTGTGGTTAGGCTGTAACTGGCCCCAAGTAACCTTCATGGCTGAGTGAGGATTTGAACCCTGCTCTTTCAGTTCCTACCTGGCACTCTAACCACTATGCCACACTGACATGCTTATGTAAGAGATTCTGCCTGGGTGATGTAAAAGTGGGAAGGGGAAAGGGGAAAAGAATCACTGCCAGAAGAAGGCTTCCCAGGGGGAAAGAGGGAGGAGCCGGCCGGGTGATGCAAGCCGAGAGGGAGCGGATATGGAAAGAAGCAACGAGGGACTTGATAGACCTGACCCGGTTTCCTGCTCCAGCCATGTCCGATGTGAACCTCTCTAGTCTGCCTTCCTGGGTGCTCTTTCCCTTTTAGCACCTGTTGCACATAGGATGCAGTGGGAGGACAAGCACTGATGCAAACACTACAGGGGACTTGCAATCCTCTCTCTCCCCACCCAATTGTTCCGTACCTAAATCCCACCCCCAGCCATATAGCATGCATCATCCCCTGGTGGAAACACCTGCCTTCCAGAGGAAAAAGAAACACCTGCGTGATGAGGCTGGCTGGTGAAAAGCGGGTGCACTCAAGTATAGGCACAGCCCCCCCCCAGCTTGCTAATTAAAGAGAGTGAGAAGAGCTGGCTGTGCAATGACAGCCAGCCAGCCACCCCCGCCTCCCACCTGCCCCACCTGCTGCTTCCTGGGGTCCTGCCAGGGGCAGAAGGTGTCGTCGCTCTCCACCTTTAGCAGCAGACAACCTGCTACTCTGAAGGGTCTGGGTCCCAGAGGAAGCATCCCCTGCCAAGCTTACCTGGGGGAAAGGATACAGGGACTGTGGGATGTGCAATCCTGAGCCTGGATTGTTTTGCCATCCAGAAAAAGGCACCTGCTAAAGCTCTCTTCCCCTGATACACACACACACACACACTTTCTCCTTTTGTGGCATCTAATTATGTGCCTCCGGTACAAGCTGCTCGCTGCCTCCTCGTCTTACCTTCTGAGGATGGTGCTCCTGGTTCTTCATCGTGGAGTCGCGTTGCTATGCACTCCTTCTCCCTCCCTGCAGTTTGCTTGTTCGCACTCTGGCTCTTCCACTTGTTCCAGAGATGCGCTCTCTCTCTCTCTCTCTCTCTCTCTCTCTTTCTCCCTCCCTCCCTCCCTCCCTCCCTCCCTCCCCCCCACTCTCTCTCTCTCTCTCTCTCTGCAACAATAGGGAAGACAGAAGGACCATCCAGATAAATAGATCAGCAAGTGAGCAGGAGAAACCTTCCCTTTCTCTGTATGTTTCTGTCCCTCTCTGGACCAGCACAGAGTATGTTGTTACCATTAGCTAGCTAGAGAATGAGGCGGAATGAGAGCGAGCTGCCAGGGAGGGCTAGCAGCAGCAGGTTGGCTGTTTGGCACACAGCTCTGCTTCGGAGTCAGATGGAGACTGCAGGCTGTGTCAAGCAGTAAGTGAAGAGGGGACAAATGCCTGGAGCAGGAGGTTTGCCAGCGGCTAACAGGACTTTTTGTCTTTTTGTATACAGAAGCAAGTGATTATGCCTCTCAATACCTGTTTCTGGGGATCAAGCAAGATGCTGGGACTGTTGCTTCCATGTCTGACTTTGACGATTTCCCAGAGTCATCTTGGTTTATTTGGGGAACATGACACTGGACCATAGCTCAGTGGTAGAGCTCAATCCTTGGCATCTCCTGGGAAAGGCTGTGAGGGAATGATCTCTGGAACCCTAACCAGTGTAGGAAACACTGAACCTGACAGACCAATGGTCTCATTCAATACAAGGCAGATCCCCATGTCCTATGTCTGTGTTGTTACTTCATCATCAGTGGAGTGGTATTCAAGAGATCTGTTGCTTTTCAATGAGCTGGGCTTTGAACATGTTTAGGAGGCATTATCAGAAAGAAGAGAATGGAGTGAACACTATCAGCAGTAGTGTTAAAAGACACCCACACTAAAGCTGTACTTAACACACTTCCATTTCTCATGCTATGTTTGACACTGGTAATCTACTCTGGGGGGAAGCAGATTTCTGGTATGTAGGATTTACTTTGATTTTAACAAAAACTAAAGTGCTACCAACCTTTTCTATGTGGCTTGAGACAGAATGGAATGCCTGTCTAGTATTCACCTAGATTCACAGCAACCTGCCTGGTTTGATAACTGAATTTCTGCCAAGCCAAATAAAGCACCTATGATTCTATTACTCGTTCTAGCAGTGGAGTGTATCATTTCTGAGCTCTAAGAAATACTTTCTTGTTAGCAAGTAGAATGGTTGTTGGATTGGCACACAACTTCTGTGACCTTCCCCATAGCAGTTCTTTGCCCTGTTTCTCTATTTTCAGTTGCCTATCTCCCTGTCAATAAGGAACCAGACCTCACGCTTCCATGTTGCCCTGTCGCAAGCACTACTGTCCCTAACACTGGCTCCTACAAATCCTAAATGACATCCCACCTTCTGCTTGCCTTGCTTTGTGCCAGGTGTGGGGAACTCTTGCCCGTCTGGAGGTTGGTGAACTACAACTCCCATCAGCCCCAGCACACATGGCCAACAGCCAAGGATAATGGGCTTTGTTGTTCACCAACCTCCAGAGGGTCAGAGGTTTCCCACACCTGCTTTATCCAATGGCAAGTAATCAGCTCTGATTTGCCAACTTCATAACAAAGGTAGCAGATCTGGTCTAGGTCTGTGTTGTACCATCTGGGGGGAAAAACCCCCACACTCAGGCAGTAGAACACAGTGTGACTGCTAGATCGGGCAGCTGCCGCGTATACAAATGCTTTCAGTCAAGATGAGACAGGTCCTTATTTTGTTCCAAATTCATCACAGCGAGAGCTGAATTCGTGTTTTACTTTCATCTTCCCTGCCTGCCCATTTCAAACCTGTCTGACCCTCCTTTGACTAGATACCTCCTCAGTACTTTTCCACTTCTAAATGGATTTGTACTGAACTGTGACCCAGGGATTTAGGGACTGAACCCTAGCAGCTCAGCGATCAGGAGCATTTCTGACATCTTCCTGTTTTGAGCCAGTCCCCCCTCCCCTCACCCGATATCCTTGCTCCCTCTACTGGCAAATGCCTGCACTGATGCACAAACGTTGATTCCTGCAGCTCCTCCTGCTGAAATTCCTTCTTCTCTATAGGAAAGAGCAGGTCTCCCTAGAGGAGTCTCTTCACCCATACACACGGTTCAAAAGGCACAAAATGCATTATGCAAACAAAGACAAATGTGCCACTTTATTGGCTTATTCTGCATGGAATGGCTCCACCTGAAAATTCTTTATTCCAAATTTTGACAGACTCCAGAACGTTTAGGGGAAAATGCAGCAAGACAGGCACAGAAACGGGTTAATGAGGCAGCAGTATATAAGTATTCCAAATTAATTAAGGGAAAGGGTGGTAACTGGATGGCAGGAATTATCACAGTACTTAGATCCCCCTCCACCTTACGCACTCTATAGTCTCCTCAGTCTTGCAAACCAAGGGAGCCTTTTGCAGAAAAGCCATAGCTCATTTGTAGAGCACATGTTTTATGCGCTAGATGAAATCTCTGTCATTGCTGTCTTCTTCCTTTAAAAAAAAATATGTCCAAGCAACATTGGGGAAATCTTCTTCCCTAAGATCTAAGAGAACCACCTAGACCATTAATCTGCCATCTATTACTACAACCTTGAGGACTAAAAAGCAGAGATCAAAATTATGCCACAGAGCCACAAATGTATGTAGAAAGTATACATAGCTACAATTGCAGAAAACAAACAGCAGTGACTTAAATCATTCTTCTTGCCTTTTGGGTTTCGTGCAGAACCACTGAAGAGAGCACCTGACGTGACCTTCTGGGGGTGCCTTGAATTCCCCCCCCCCTTAAGTGGAAGCATGAAAAACCAGGAAACAAGCAGCAGTAGATAGCTGATGAAGCCAAATTGCACATTTGCACTCACTTCTGGTTCAAGGCAAACAGGACTCTCTCAGCTAAGCTCCTGAAAGTGCACACAGGTGGGGAGATGACTTTGGGCAAACGCACCTGAGCCCATTTCATAACCTGGGCCAAGCCGTTTGAGCGGGGGTGGGGACAGAGGGCACTTTTATGACTGCTTCTCATCATCACCTGTTCCCTGTGCACACATGCCTGGCGGGAACCACAGGGACCAGCCTGTCGTTCCATGGACTTTTACCCTGCTGTGCAAACAGACAAAAGCCTGATAGAGTTTCGGTTGGAAGTTCATCATCTCAATACATGGCCGGAACTGCGGTTGAGTCAGTGAATCCCTAGTGTGTGCTCTCCCTCTTCCCCTCTCCCTCTCTCCTTATAGAATCATAGAATAGAGTTGGAAGTGACCAGGAAGGTCATCTAGTCTAACCCCCTGCAATGCAGGAGTCTTTTGCCCAACATGAGGCTTGAACCCACAAGCCTGAGATTAAGAATCTCACGCTCTACTGACTGAGCTATCCGGTGTTCTCCCCTTTTATGCCTCTTCTATGTTATTAGCTCTGTCCCATTCTAGATTACACTGCCTGCCTTTACGTCTTTCTCCTAAGTAGGGCATGTGCATTCCTCACCCTCATTGACACTTGCATATGCAATGATAAGCTGTGAATCCTGGCATGCTGCAATAAACTACTAATTTATCTAGCTTGCTGGGATAAAGATGCAGAAATACAGCGAAATGATAAAGGAGCAGCAGGTATCTGGAGCTCTGGGGCCAAATTCAACCACCAGCATACACGGAAACTTCACACATACTAAGATGCAGGCAAAGATTTCTTCACCCCTTCATCTGCAGCAGGAACAGCAACAAAGCTCTGAGAGCATGCTCCACATATGCAGAGTGATGGTGAGCAGCTGTAATGCTAAAAGGAAGTGCTGTTGGTATTTCCATTGAGATGTAATTTGGGAGAGGTAATTCCTTGGGGTTCAGCTTATGTGACCCAATGCGGCTGAATCTCTAAATGTTTGTTCGATTCAAAATATGACTTCTGCTGTTAAAAATTAGTTGCTGACCAAGTTCATATAGCCTTTGAAGACATTGTTTCTTAGAGATAGCCCCTCGCTTGTAGAGCTTGCTGATATGCTGGTCACCTAGACCAGTGTTTCCCAATCTTTTTCCTATCGTGGCCCCCTCCCGATCTTGTGTCCTTCCTGTGACTCCCCCATGGGTATAGCCAGGGGGGCAGCTGCCCCCCAAATAAGTAAAAATCAATACAAATCTGAGGTTCTACCCCCCCCCAACAAAAGCCTGCCCCCAACAAAAATCCGGGCTATGCCCATGGCCCCCCCCATCATACCGGTAGAAAGGTAGCTATTTAAATGTTTTGTTTGTAAATAGAACATGGTTTTTAAAAAATAATTTATACAAAACATAATTACATAAAATGATAGGAACATAATGAAATATTGTTGAAACAGAATCACAGAGCTGGGTCATTTTCTAGTTCAACCCCCTGCAATGTAGGAAACTTAGCTAAAGCATCCATGACAGATGGTCATCCAACTTCTGCTTAGAAATCTCCAAGGAAGGAGAGTCCAGAACCTTCCGAGGTACGTCCATCTTCCATGTACAGTGGTACCTCGGGTTACAGATGCTTCAGGTTATGTGTTTTTGGGTTGCGCACCGTGCCGAACCCAGACGTACCAGAACGGATTATTTCTGGGTTTTGGCGCATGCACAGAAGCACTAAATTGTGCTTTGCGCATCCGCAGAAGTGCCGAATTGCGACCCGCGCGTGCGCAGATGCGGCGCTACAGGTTGTGAATACTGTGGGTTGCAAACATGCCTCCCGCATGGATCACGTTTGCAACCCGAGGTTCCACTGTACTATAAAAATTAAAAAAACACTTATTTGGCCCCAGTTATTTGACACAGAGGGGGAAACCTACAGATGCAGTCCAAAAGGTGCAAAGGGAGTTCTGCATATATGGGAGAATTTTTTTAAAAAGTGGTCCTCACTTACCTGGTGCCTTCTACACAACTCGTAAATGTACTTTATCGCTTTCATCTTTTGAAATGTGTTGTCTGATCTC